AAAAAAAAAAAAAAAAAAAAAAAAAAAAAAAGCTTAATATTTATTTGTTTACTTTATTAAACATTTCTTTCAATGTAAGTTGTTTAAGTTGCTATGTTTTTTGAGTTAATACTTTCTCTTTAATTCTACAGACATAATTTCTTGTTCAATTACAAAGTTCCACTGCTCAAGTCATGTAATTGCTGTGTCGAGAATACCAACTAACTTGTCAATCAAATTTTTCCGTTTTCAATAACCTCTCTGTCACTTCACTATCAGAAGCGGTATTTTCTGGATCTAGAACCATACTACAGATTTCGGCGGCCATTAATTGATTGATTGATGATTGGGGCAACCAGATCCTTTGGCAGCTCCAGAAATGGAAATCTTTTTGACATAATCGAAAGTTCAAGCTTACTTTTTATAAAATTACTCTAACAGTCTCCAAAAAATAATAAGCCGGATCCAATTAGAAGATTAAGGAACAGCGCAATCTGCAACATTAATTGAAATGCCTTAGAATCAGTAAAGATAATTTTAGCCTAGCTTATACCATCCGTTACACATCAAACACACATGCATAAACATATTACGTGCATGTGTAAAGCATACAAAAATAAAAGTTTGTAACTTTGAGGTCCGGATTATAGATCATTCCGGGTAATGGATGTCTGAATTACGGACTTTGTACTGTATATATAATTCCTACCTGTATATATAAATGAGTATACCTTATCTCAAAAATGAAGTTATATGCACAAAATTTACAAATAATGAAATACATGCAATGCACATATATTATGCACAAATATATGTAAATATTAGATTTGTAGATATATTTTTAAATATGTTTATATAAACAAATGCATAAATTAAAAATGTCTGTATAGTCATATTCTCAGCCACTGTAAATTTCATTAAATACTGCAGTATGAGATTCTTTCTTTTCAAAAAATTATTTTCTTGACCGGGTCCTCTATTACATTTAAACATATTCTTAAACTTACCTTAATATTTTTCAAAGGACACATAGGTCTGTATTTATTTATTTATCTTTTTTTTTTTTTTTTTTTTTTTTTTTAATCTCAAAAAAAAAGCAGTATACATTCCTTTTTATAGTCTAAAATATTATTCAGATATTGATAAATTGAAATTTTTAGTCAGTTTTGTATAAATTTTACTTCCATTATTTACTTTTTAAATAATAATTTTACCAGAAAAATCTGTTTTTGAAAAAAAATCAGATTTAACTGGTTTTAACCGGTAAAATTACATTTGGAAATTTAAAGGTTTTTATTCTTAGTTATATCTTTTGAAAATGAACAATAAATATTCTATAATGAATCACTTAATATGCCCTAATTTGAGTGTCCAGCGATCCATTGCAATTTAGTAAAATATGCTCCTTTGCAGTATAGATTATACTCATATATATAAATAAATAATTTTCATGCGAGTGTAAGAAAGGCCAAATTACGGGTATGGAAGTAATTGTGTCAGATGCTATTCACATAAGTAAATTTTTAAATTCACCTGAATGAATACCATGAATAACGATTATGTTTACAAGCATAACTCAGTGAAAATTTGGCATTCGTTTTGACGACAAACTATATAAAGCAGCCTGTGTTTTATGTGTGTTTTCCCAGATATGGCAAATGGAAAATATATACTTTTCTTTACAGAATTATACTTACATAATATGAAAAACATTAAATGATATATTTATATATACGAGGGCTGTTCAGAAAGTATCGAGACTGAATTTATTCTATTTATTCCAGAAAACCCCTAGCGGTGGGGCTGTGCGCATTATGCACGCATACGTTTCACCTCATTTCACAAAACCTGGCAGGTCTGTACAGTGCGCCGTTCAGTCACACCGACTTCTTTCATGTGGAGTGTTTGCGTGGGTTTGTCGAAAACTGAAAATTTCTGAAAACACGAAGTGGCAAATCTGTATCAATTTCTGCTTTAAACTCGGTAAAATGGGCATCGAAACCTACGAGATGATGAAAACAGCATTTGGAGATGAGGCGATGAGTCGTGCTCGGGTTTTCGAGTGGTTCTGGTGATTCAAGGAGGGTCGGAAATCAGTGGACAGTGATCTCCATTCTGGACACCCGTCCACCTCTCGCAATGAGAACAAGATTGTACAAGTGCAGGCTGTGGTGCGCTCTGGTGTTTCCATAGGATCATGTGATGAAATTTTGAGGACTTGAACATACACCAAGTGTCTGCAAAGCTTGTGCCGCGTCTCCTCACTGAGGATCAGCAATTCCAACGAGTGGCAATCTCATTTGATTTATTTCAAAGTGCAAGTGGCGATCCGGAGTTCATGAAGCTCATTATCACTGGGAATGAGTCATGGATTTACGAATACGATCCCGAAACAAAGCAGCAGTCATCAGAATGGAAAAGCCCCGGGTCTCCTCGGCCAAAGAAAGCACGGCAGGTGCGAAGCCAGATCAAAGTCATGTTGCTTGTGTTTTTCGATGCAGATGGAATTGTTCACCATGAGTATACTCCCCAGGGCCAGACAGTAAACAAGGAATTCTACTTGGATGTCATGAGGAGATTAAGAGAGGATGTTCGCAGAAAACGACTGGTGTTGTGGGCGTCCTCTCGCTGGAGGCTTCATCATGACGGAGCCCCAGCACACACCAGCAATCTTGTGCAGCAGTTCCTGGCAAAACAAGGAACAATCCAGTAGCACATCCTCCCTACTCGCCGGACATGTCACCTCCAGATTTCTTCCTCTTTCCCAAGATTAAGAACACCTTAAAAGAACACTGGTTTCAAGACATTGAGACCATAAAACAGAATTCAACGCAACAGCTTCAGGCCATTCCAAAGTCGGAGTTCCAGAAATGTTTTGAGGACTGGAAACATTGTTGGGTCAAATGTGTTACTGCCATTGGAGCATATTTCAAAGAAGATTGACTCAAAACCTGTTTTACATAATAAATTCGGTCTCGATACTTTCTGAAAAGCCCTTGTACACAGTAAATGTTTATATTTAACTAACAGCACAAATACAATAATAAACTTACCAGGCATGTCCATATTCAGGCCATTTTTCTGCGAGATGCTGAGTAATTGTGATATAAGCATTCAGCTTTAGAAGTTTTTTTTTTTTTTTTTTTGGTGTAACTGGGATCTGTAATATCCCATAAACACTGCCTTCACCTCACTTCTTCAATAAGTTTAGCTTCGATTTCTGAACATCACTTGCTGCCGTTGCAGTCTGCCATCTTGAATGTTATTTTGGTTGATGATGATAATGAGGGATTCGAAGCTGATAGCTGATTGGTTGAAAACGAACAACTTGCAATTTGTTTTGAATGGAAGAAAAAACCCTGCATCTTTCTTTCAATAGTAAACCATTCAGAAAAATTGTCTGAAACAGTTGTTTGTATGAAACAAACACCATATGATATGGGCTTAAGCAATCTTCTGAGGAAATACAAATCAGTCCTTTATAGTCTGAACATTATTTTTATAGGTAATTTAATTTTTTTCAGTAATAAGATTACTATCTTCCTCATGATATACGATACTCAACAAACTAATATTATTATACACATACTGTAAATTATTTCTTGGTTATAGTATGAAAAGAAAAGAGAGAAAAGTAAAGTACATTCTGTGGCAATGAAAGAAAATTCAAAGCATGGCTTATAAACAATCTTCTGAGGAAATACAAATAAGTCTTTTATAGTCCGAAACGCTATTTTCATATTTATGGAATGCCCAACTGAAAGCTAAACAAGGAACTTTTCCACTAGATTAGATTTTTAGATGCATTCCATATCAAAAAACGCATATATATGTGTAAGATATAGAATATGCAAAACAAAATCTTAACTCTGATATGTAAACAGCCCCTTAAATTTTCCATTTAATTTGGTTGCTTTTTCTTTCTATCCTACAAAATAGTTATATACTTATAATAAATTTCTCTAAATAGCAACATTTCAAAATTAATGCTTGTCATATATTCTTATACAGTGTTAAGGATGTACGTACTTACATTACATTTCAGCCAATGATAATATTTAAAGGTGTGTACGTATTAAGCAACACGAATGCATTCAAGCCAAAATTATATTAGTCTTAACATAAAGCTAAAAATTATGTATTCTTCTCTTGCTTGTTTCTTTACTAGCATACCAACAATAACATTTCTTTCATTAGATACACTGTTATAAAGATGTTTAAAAAAGAAGCCAAATGTTATTGATCAAAAATGAGCATGCAGATTTTGCCAGTTTATCTGGGTTTACAATGCAAACATGCAATGCATCAAAAAAGTTATATCAAAAATGAAAGAATTTTAGGCTTAAAATTAAGAATGTTGGCTATGGCAATTGCAACTATCTTTATGCACCAAGCTTTGTAATTATGTATCTATGACATTATATAACCATTAATATCAAGGTTTTCATGACACATATATATTGTGATGAAGTTTTAAATGCTCCCTTTTTAAGATATTAATAATTTGGATTTTAACGACACACTACAGTTACAGAAATCCTTTCTTTTCTCAGACTCAAACATGTAATTAAAAATTTTAATGTGTGACACCATATGATAATTAACAAAATATAACTCTCCCTTAATTTGTTCTAACTTTTGCTCAAGGCATTTAAGGCATTTTTTAAATATTAGGCAAAAAAGATCTAGATTTTTATTAGCTAAATTTAGAATTGTTTCATGACTCTAAAATTTTATATTTATTAAACTTTCAGTGATAACAGTTATTACTAGAAGAATAAAATATCATTATTTGCCATGGAATTAGCATTCATATTCAGTAAATTATTTTGCTAATGCCAAACCTTCAAAAATACTTTATATTTATTACAGCATCCTTTTTGTATCCCCCCCAAGAGCTTTACAACTCCTTTTCAAGATCTACCTGAACTACATGTATATATATATATATATTTTCTTCTTAATAACCATGAAATGTAAAGCATACTAAATATATAGAAAAATAATAATAGAGAAATAACCTGTTTTCTTTTCAAAAGAAAAATTTAGTGAAGAAACTTTCATTTGTGATGGCTGAATACCATACATCTGAAGAAGGGAAGTCTGCCAAAAAACAGTAACTTTTTAATTCAAATAAAACAGTGATAAAATTATTGCATATGTTTCACTTTAGTTTGAAAATGATAAATAAATTTTAAGTACCTTTCCTGCACATATGTATCTGATACGTAAAGAATAAAAACATACATAAAGTACACAAACTCATATTATGTTTGATAAATTTATTTTAAATTAATTAAAAAATAAAAACAACATTTTTAATTGGTAGAATAAAAAATCTAGTCTTACATTTTTGACCTTTTATATTTAAATTAATGATTACCTTTCAGTGTAGGAATTGCTCAATATTACTTTTGAAGGGAGGGCAAAGTTTTTTCCTAATTTTTTCCTCCAAAAAGGATAGTAACATAACTCTTATTTTCTATTTAACAAAATCTTCATTTCTTATTAATAAAGGCTAATCGATTATCCACTTATAATTTTTTTAATTAAAAAACAATGCAATTTTATTTACTTAATTTTTAATGCATTAACTTGACCATTTATAATACTTAAAATGTAATTAAAAAATTTGCTCATTCACTATTATTACAAGACTTAAAAGCTCTATGTGTATTGTATTAACATTTTACTTAAGGAAAATAACTTGGAGGATTTTAATGAAGAAAATTTTTCACAAGAATAGAATGCTCTAAATTATTTTAAATATTAATACAAATAAATAAGAAACAAAAATCAAATTTTAAATTTTCAAAAGCAAAATTGAATTTCTTATTTAAAATATGACTGACTAATTACAGTGCTAAAAGTTCTGCATTTCATTTCACTTTTAAACAATTTAGCATCTTATCCACTTTTCAATTTGTCTTCTAATTAAAAAATTCAAATGTTTATCATCAAATTTGCCATCAAGTTATTACCTAAAAATATATATATAGAACATATTAAATCTGAAAATATATGCGATTTGAAATAGTAAGAAATTGAAATCATTATTATATAATACTCTATGAGAGATATCAACGAAATAAAAGTTTACAACAGTGCTGTCATCATAGTAATGGCAGATAAGAGATTGAAACACAAGACAGGAAAAAATAATCTTCATATAATAAAGAAATTTTTTTATTATAAGGGGGAAAATATACACTGCTTTCCAAAAATTAAGTGATAGCAAATCTGAAAACAATGCAAATAGTTGTGTTTTTCTTAATTTCAAATTTCACAATAAGGAAGCCAACTGAGTTATTATTTTTTTATAATTACAATAATTAAAATGGATTTAAATACATTTTTAATCTTTCCTAAGCATTTACTTTTTATTTTCCTAAGCATTAAAAAATGATAATTGACTACAACAAACAAATCTTAATATAGGACATGATCTTCTCCAACTCTGATAAAATCTTCATATTAAAGTTCCATTCCTTCATTTAAATGATCCAGATTAAAGAAGGGCAACAACTGTCATTTTTGTAAAAGAATAGTATGCAGCTCTCAAAAATTGATTGAAAAGGGTTGACGAAGCATTTATCTCTCCAAGTGCCCTTCTAAAAACTTTTGAATGGACAGTGCAATTTCTGAAGAAAATCTAGATGTAATTATGCTATTGTGGCTAAATACATAGTAATCAGTGGTTTTACTAGGCCAGTTGTAAACATAGAATGTGAGAATGAGGAATCATTCTCACATTCTATGTTTACTTTTTAATTTTATGATAAATCTTGCTTCACTTGTGAGAATCACATTGGACCACTGCATTTTCGTAAAGTCACATATCCTAACTAAACCTGTTTAACCTGCTAACTTTAATCCTGTTTTTCTGGCCTTGGCATTTACAGAGGCAAAAATGCTTAGCAATTTTTTGTTTTGTTTGTTTGTTTATCCTTCACTCTGCAGCAGTAGCAAAATCAAATGAATGAAACAAATGCTGAATACACACCATCTTCCATCTAGCTTCCCAGTATCTCTATGTTTTGCTAAAATCTTTTCAGTTTTAAGTACAGAGCATGTGTCTAAGTGTTGAGCCACCATCCACTGCCCACTATCACTAAGAACAGAAAAAGGAGAATCTACAATGCCACAGTGAGAGGGAAAAAAATAGGCCTACAATCACTCCTGTCTTGTCAAAAAATTAAATTCAGTTACAGTGATTCACATTGGAAAGTTCTAAATGCAATTAATGAAAGTATGAAGACATTGCCAGGATGTATATGATAAACAGCAACAACTTTCTTTAAGGCAATATTTAAAAACACTTGTTACCCATAATTTTTCAAAACCAAATGACATGAGAATTACAGGCTTCTGGAAGATGCTTGTTCCTTTTTCAGTCAAAATCATTACATTTACCCTAGTAGTTTCATATGCTAATCATCAGAGGATACTGTAGCCCAAGGATAATAAGGAATGTCTTCAGAATGTATTTATATATCAGTTGCCTGGATTATTTTTATACATAAGAAATGACAAAAAGTCTTATAGAAAACATTTGGGGAAATCTTTATTGGGTTGCACTACCTTAAATCTTTCCAAAGAAAGCTATTATCAAGAATCTTTAAAAAGCTTTCTTTAAGTTACAGAAAATCACACTTACTTTAATCAATAGTTAACACATCTGCTGTTTGAAAATTTTCTTTGAACTCTAAAACACTTATGCATAAATAAGTCACTATCTCCCTTACAATGTATATTTTTTAAGAAGCACTTCTAGGCATATCATCATGTTTGCATATCCCCATCTAGTACAATAATAGTAAATTTCGTTAAAAAAATTCACATAAGTACTTACAATTTGAGAATTTGCAAGTCATACTTAACTTTAGGAAAATAACATAGTTAAGTCCAAAACAATTTCTAAGAAATCTTTCTATTGCATACACTGACGAGACAAAACATTATAACCATTTTCACATTTTCCAATGAACTTGTCTGGATGACGTGGAGAGCATGTGATTAAGTGGGAATGGTGTTTAACTGCTGCTGGAGAAGATAAGGGATCATTCTTGTAACTTACTTTTACAAAGCGAATCTAAGCGAATTTGATAGAGAGCAGGTTGTAATGACCCAAAAAACTCAGAACGAAAATCTCCGAAACTGCAAGACTGGTAAGTTGTTCATGATCTGCCATTGTTAATATACTAACAGTGGTAGGTTGTAAACCAGCACTAGACACCAAGGTACTGGACACCATGAGTCATCAAAGAAAAAGGACATTGGAGACTGACACACTTGATATAACAAAATCAGCACCTGACAGTGGCTCAGCTGACAGCCCAACACAAAGCAGATCCAAGCACAAATGCTTTGGAACAGACAGTTCAGCGTATACTGTTGGATCTGGGACTGCACAGCAGACATCCCACTCGTATGCCTCTGTTGAACAAGCATCACTGCCAACTACACCTATAGTGGACCCAGGAACATTGAGACTTGGCCATGGATAAGTGGAAGACAGTTGCTTAGGTCAGATGAATCTTGATTTCTCATTCATCACATCAATGGTCAACTCAGAGTATGTCATCTTCCAGGCAAACTTCCTGTACAGCAAGTCATACACAGGCTGGTGGTGGCAGCATTTTGCTTTGGAAGTCATTCTAATGGGCAGCCGTGGGACCCATACTTGTGGTAGAACAGATGATGAAGGCAGATCTGAACACAACTGCAGATCAGTTCCTCCCTTACATGGCATCTGTCTTCCAGCTGGATATAAAATCTTCCAAGAAGACAACACCCCTTGTCACAAAGTTCGAACTCTGTTGGAGTGGTTCAAAGAGCATAAGGATGAATTCCAAGTAATGTCCTGGCCACATAACTCACCAGATCTTAATTTGTTAGAGCACATTTGGGATGTCATGGAATGGTAGTGCACAGCTCAAACACCACCATGTCAGAATATCTCAAATTTGACTAACTGCTACTTAGATATTTGGCAGAACCTGTCTGACCCAAAAACTTGTGGTATCCTTGCCAAGGCAAGTTGCAGCTGTTTTACAAGCGAAAGGTTGCACAATGGATTATTGAGTAGGTGACCATAATGTTTTGGCATTTCAGTATATGTTGTTGTTTTACAAAATAAGTACAAATTTTCCAAAGAAATAATATAATCTAGCAATCTTAAATTACATCAAGTACACTGAATACTCAAGCTACAAATAATTTACCATGCTTTGATTATTGCAAAATGCTGTAAAACTTAATTTTTATGGCTTTCCTTTTTTTTTTTCAAATGTCAAACAATCACTTTTATACATTCATAAAGTTGCAAAGAAGAAAAATTGCATGTTCCCTGTTTCATATCTCATCAAAGCAACATATATGTATTACAAGGCATTCATTTTCCCCCCCTGAACTAGAAAATTTTTATATTCTGAATCACAAATGCACACACACATTAAAAAATTATTTTAAAATTGCTTTTATTTCAATTACTTTAAAACTTTTTTTTAGAATAACAATATTATTACCTTAACTACTGCAAGCAGAAGCTTTTCATTAGGAATAAAAATTTGTCTTTTATCAGGTGTCACATTTACATCTGCACATCCTGGAAAACATACAAAACAGCAGCTAAATGATTCATTCTCTAAACTAAATAAAGAGATTTGGAAAATAAAGAAAAGCTAAGACATCAATATTTATTGTTTTATCTCCACCGGTGGTACGCACGAGAAAAAAAAAATCTAATATGTGCACCACCTGACTTCATTGTACGAAATAATAAATTATACCCATTTTTCCTTGCATTTCATTTAAACTTATTGGATTGGATTAAATTTACTTCGTCGATAGCGCATAAACCATAATAGAATAAACACACTCTTTAAAATTCAATATATTTGTTACCATAGCGACATTCTGGTCGCAGATTCACTTAAAAGCGTTACATTTCGTTCATTTTTAACTCAGAATGCACAAAATTTATATCATCTTAAGAATTACCTAATCGTTGCCACATGTTCTGTTCAAATTCTATAATAAATCTAAAACAATGTATAAAAGAAATTAAGAAAAGAACAACAACAACAAAAAAGAAACAGTTTTTTCACAGACGATTCAGTATTTCTCATTCAATTAATTCAGTTCTCATTTCACGACAAGGCGAAAATACATTAAAACTAAAGATGTCTGTATTGAAAATTACGAAGTAAATCTTAAACACTTATTTCCTTGAATAAATTCCAGAATGGATTAAGCATGATTTAATTCACAATAATAAAACAAAGGCATTATCTTTGTAAAAACCTTATATAAAAACCTTAACCGGAAGATAAGAACAACATAATTCAATCATTTTTAAAGCAAAAAAATACACAACTTACAAACATATATGAGTAAAGAAACTGAGCTCAATGAGCTGGTTAATAGAGTGGATATATATATATATATATATATATATATATATATTTATATACGTTTGGTGCGACCAATTGCAACCAAAATATGAGGTGCACATCTACATATTTAGCAGTCCTTTATACAAAATTTCAACGCTCTGAGGATACTCGTTTTAGAGTTATGTGAGATACATATTTACATACAGATGCCACAAAAAATTCTCTTCAGAATTCATTTTAAATCGGTTTTATAATTTTTGGGGAAAAGAGACCATTACTCTGTCCTTATGTACAAATGTTGTGTAAAAGCATCGTTAAATTGCATTCGATAGTGGTCAAAATGGATATTTTCATTCAAATATGATGCCTGAAATTTTGCACGATTACAATACTTCCTTTTTACTTCGTACAAGAAAGTAAAAATAAATGCTAATCTCAAATCAGACAGAAAATTAAATATTTCATCATAGAAAAAATATTTTGTAACAATTCATAAAAACCTTTAATGAATAGTAAAACAAAAGAAATGGAAATTTCAGCAACAAATCTAAAAATTTCATCCACATTAGCCTATTTTAGGCCATCATAATAAGTTTTCAACAGTTGAATGAAACTATAATATGTGTAATGAATATGATTCTTCCAACCTCACTTCTTATGTTTTTAATGTTTGCAATAACTTGAAAGTTGGTGACAGTGATATATTTTTTTTCTTCGTATAGAAATTATTTTTCCACTTACATCATCCATCATGATAAACAGAATTAAAGACAATGTGATTAACAGAATTATAAAAAAACTTATCACTTGAAAACATTTACTCACTTTTAATTGCCTATTTATTCTCATTAAAGTTTTAAAAACTTATTTAAAACCAGTATGCATTATTGAAATTTTACACATATATTTCAGGAAGACATATCTCCATTTTATAATTTTATATTGCATTGACCCAACCCCCCCCCCCGCCCATAAAGCATCACCGAATTAATTACATAAGTTTTATAATTAAATGAAGTCTTTCTTTGTGGTTTAAAACTAGTCATACACAGAAAGTACATGATGGACTGTTATTGTTATATTGAGCTGCAACTAAGTTTTTGCATACCCTTTTCAGATGTAATGCCTTCAGTTAAAGTTTCAACAACCTCTTACAATTGTAGAGACATTAGGATTTTTTTGGAAGATGAAAAATGAGCAACACCCTCGCTGGAAATCGAACCACAGAATACGCGCCCAGAGTGCTAACCACTACACTACAAAGGTTAGGAAAATACCTTATATGGTAATCTTTTTATAGGATAAATTTGTACAGATATTTAATCAGGGTTTATTTCATACCTATTTAGTTTTAATATGGTCACTGCTGATCATGAACTCACACCTGATGTGGCATTATCACTGAAGAGCTATCACGTGATGGTGCATGAAAAGAAATGCCTCATTGTTTATTTCCCATTTCAACTGGCATTACATTTTGAATATGTATGCTGGTATTGGCATGGAATGAGATTAGAAACTAATTGTACATACATGTGGTTTCAAATTTAAGCAAAATCTCGTTTCATCCAAAGATAATACACAAATAACATTCTGAAATATATAGCTTATAATATCATTGTAACTACTCGGTAATAAATCCATTTATAATATATACATAATTGTTTTTGATATAGTTTCATACCAAAAAAAAATGCATATTGATACTTACCTTCTTAACATTCAAATGGCATGCACCACCATATAATGTGGCACTGGGAAAAATTTTACCTCTTGTGTCAATCACGCACTGGCCCACGGTCATAAAATTCTATCATTAAGGCTTAGCAATCAATATGATAATCATATTTTATTACCTCTTTTAACTTGTATGTCTTATACTAAGTAAGTTGGTACATGGGTACAATCTACTTTTATATCAGGGTAATAACTATCAATACAATGTCATATGACTGGCAGTGAAAGTGTTAACTAAATTTATTTCCTTAAATCTGTCACTATATGAATTCATACTTTATCTTTCAGAACTGAAAAGGCATCTGGAATATAAAGATAAATGTTGACCGCATTTTTTCTTAATTTTAATAAATTAAGAAGAGCTAGTTAATTTACAGTTTTTTTTAATACTCAATTATATCTTCTTTTTTTAAAAAAAAAATTATATGAGATTTTATAAATACAGTTTCTTTTACTTTTAAATAACTGTTATTTTATGATAGATAAGTGAGGTAAGCCAGCTAAGAAGAAATACATAAAATAAATAAATTAAAAACGATCGCTATAAAATATTTTAAAGAGAAGCATACATACTTATGATTAATATTTTGAATATTAACCCTAACTTTCATGAAGACTATGAATATTGCTCTTTAACCAGGAGGATGGCAAACTTCCACAATAAACTTATAAAGTATTTTCTCCCTCCTTTCTGCATGCCTTCGTGGTGTCACAGTAGCACACTTGACGCATATTCGAGAGGCCCAGGTTCATGTCCCGGTGAAGGCATTGCACATTTTTCATGTCTCCTGCTTCAGAAAAACCTAATGTCTCTACAGTGGCAAATGAACTAAAAGGTGGTGGATGATGATGATTCCTCACCACCAAGATTTGGCGAACGGGTCCCCTAATCCCCAGTCGCCATTTAAAAGGGAAAGTACATAAGGTATTTTCTCCCTCCTTTTTGCATGCCGTCGTGATGTAATGATAGTACACTTGGCACATATTCGAGAGGTCCAGGTTTAAATCCCAGCGAGGGCTCTGCACACTTTTCACATCTCCAGCTTCAAAATAACCTAATGACTCTACAGTCTTGCTGTCATGGAAATTTGCCATCCTCTGTTTGCAGAATACTGGTTTTATTTCTGAATATGTGGACAGCAAATTATTTAAAAAACAAAATCGATACTTTTTGATTATCTGTATTCCTGTGAAAATTAATAAATATTGCTGACTTTCTAAACTGGTAAGAAACAACTGTTTCGCTAACTTTATCAAAGGTAGAGTTCCATTAATAAATAATAATAAAAAAAAAAAGCATTTTACTGGTAAGAAACAAGGAATGTTATGGGAAAGAACAATTTACAGCTGGTGGATGCTGTTAAGTGAAATGATGGCTAAATATAAAGCATGTAAATCCAAATATACTAAAATATGTATAGTTTACACATGCATGAGTTGTTGTTGCAATGCACCCAAACATAGCAATTTTATCAAATGTTGAAATCAGGAGTATAGGTAATTATAAAGTGCAGCAGAACCTTTATACGAAGACAGAAGAAGGAAAATCAAAAATTTATACCTTTTATTAAACTAATATTCACAAATACAAATGGATACTGATGTCTGTTGAATGAATGATACACTTCATTTATCAACTTAGCTACCTAAAATATAAATAAAAGTTCAAGTAAATTATTTTTACAATTAATAAACTTTTCACAAACTGATAAATGAAAAAGAACAACATACTTTGGAACTATACATCATTTATACAGAGTTTATTCTCAAATTCTTTAAAACTACCGAATTAATTCTACGACCATTTACTGATAAATACTAATTACAACAATAATATATTTTTATAGACAATTATCTTCACATTCCTAAAAAATGAGTTCTTAATTTAATTGACTACATTAATCAACCAAACGCTGTTTTGCATCTTATTGATTTCATCAAACTGAACTAAGTACTAATTGATGCATGGAATAAATGCACTCTTTATTAATATATTACAATACAGCTTAAAAATAAAAACATCAGAAACTTATTTTCTAAACTCACATGCTATTATCGAAATTTCTTACCCGATATCTTAAAATTAAGTGAATGAATAATTTTATATAGTAAAATAAATTACAAATAAATACACATGTATTAAAAAGTACAAGTTTTTCTCAGTAAAAAAATAGTATATGCATTACCTGATATAACACCTGAAGTCATCATCATAGTTTCCAAAAATTTACTTACATATTTTACAAAATTTACTCAACACAATTTAGATTTCTCTTACAAAAATTTAAAAAGAAGGGGATACAGGATTATTAAATTTTGCCTGTATATCATACAAATTTAAGGTTAGGAAATACTATATATATATATATATATATATATATCTGCGATATTTAGTCGTTCACTTAAACCATGAGACATGAGAAAATGGAAAAGATATAAGTGAAAAATCATGGATTTCAAAGGACTTAATATAGAACTATAATTAATTTGGCATAATTTGCTATATTTAGGTCTTATGTGCCAATTTTATGTAAACTAGGAACTCTAATTTTTTTTTAAATGATGAATGGCATATTTTAGTTATATTTTTAATATCCAAAAGTTTACTAAAATACTGTTTATTTGACTTACACAATACTCTTAGTACATTTTTCAGATATTCACTTGCTCCACTCCCCCCCCCCCAAAAAAAATTAGCTTTCGGAGAAAGATTTTGAACATTTAATTTGTTTGCTAAATGAATTTTTTGATAGAAGAATTTACTCAAAATTTAATACAGTACAAAGTCCGAAATCCGGACGTCCATTATCCAGAATAATCTAAAATCCAACCTCAAAGCCACAATTTTTTTTTTTTTTTTTTTTGGTGTGCTTTATGCATGCGCATTTGGTTTTTCCTTCCATAATAAGGCGAGTGGAGATTTTGGCTTAAAAATTCCGATTCTTAATTTCACTTAGGCACTAAATAAAATACATCGTTATGAAAAAACAATCATGTAAGCATAAATTTGTGAGATTAATAATTTGGCTCCGCAGCTGACTGTCCGCTTGGCATTACATCTCAAACCGAAACATTCACCTATTTTATATCCCTGACGCCGACCTAAAAAGTTATTTTAATAATTTAGTATATTTTGCTTTCATCACCACATGTTTAGCAATACATGACAGTTTCAGTAATAACTCATGCTGTATGAATAGTAAGAGTATGGCAACCTTTTCTGCTAACGTTATGCTTGGCGATGATAACAGATTTTTAAATGCTCTAAGAAATGTTGACGTGAAAAAATTCAACAAAAATTTCTTTTCATATGCTAAAAATAGATTTTGTTAATGAAACTCATAGGCCAAAAGATTACATTTAGTGCTATTTTAATTAAGAGTAACTGATATGTTATTCACCACAAACTCAGAAGCGGGAAGAATTTAGGGAAGACACTGGATGGCAAAGCACTGGGATCCAAAGGTTAGGCACAGCGAAAATTTAGAACTTAGGAAGGCACTTTGAAGCAGAATTTAGAGACTGCACCAGGCTGTATCTAGCGTCGGCCCTAGATAAAGCCTTATGTATATGTGGGAATTTATTTATTCAGGACTCAGATTAGTTTTAAGCATGTGCAAGAAATAAATGTACTCTTAGTACTAAATAACTAAACTAATACAATTCAGGCTTAATTCAGTACGCAATAGGAGCAAGACAAAATTTAGAGAAACAACTTGGCTTTCGTTATCAATCTTGTGATGCACAGCCAATAATGTATAACGGATGCTATTAAGCTAGGCTAAAATTATCTTAACTGATTCTAAGGCATTTCAGTTAATGTAGCAGACTGTGCTGCCCCTTAATCTTCTAATTTGATCCAGCTTATTATTTTTTGCAGACTGTTATTATTACGGCAAGTTTATAAAAATTAAGCTTGAACATTCGATTATGTTGAAAAGAGTTTCTAATTCTGGAGCTGCCAAAGAATCTACAAAGCGAAACCATGTTTCGATGTCCATTAAACAAAAAGTGAATTTTTTTTTTTTGCAAATTTTGATACCCTTTAGAACATAATTGTTCTTTATTTCATAAATTACGATTTCATATTTTTAATTGTATAATTTCTGCATGCCATCTTACCAGATTTAAATTGATGATCTATTATCTGGAACCAAAGTCCCGATGAGTCCAGATTTCGGACTTTGTACTGTATTTCATCAATAACCCAGTTTAATAAAATTAAGGAAAGGTTTGCTATAAAATTTCTGAAATTAAGTGTATTCAGCTAATAACATAATATACAGATATACTTAAACAATTTACAAAGTTATCCAGATATTCATTTCCTTAAAATTTAAATATTATTGAATAAAAAGTTCTTCAGATAATTATTTTACTTATTACCAGATGGGTAATTTACCCATAAGCCAAATATAGAAAAATTTAAACCAACAAAATCAAAATATCTTCCACAATGTAATATGTAGATAAATGCCTTCTTTCAAATTCAGACTCTGATAATATAGAAAAATAAAACTGAAGAAATACCTTTGGTAAATCACAAGGCCTGCCATTGATAAAGAAGAACTGCCTGTCAGTTGTACTTCTACCTTCACCATGAGTGCTGTTAGAAATATAACCTTCCAACCTAAAAAATATAATATTTATTATATTTCTGAAATCAGTTCATATAAATAGAAATCATAGTTCATATCAATCGTTTGAAATTATATGTTCATATTAATCATCTCAAATTATAGTTTGTATCAATAATCTGAAAATCATTCACATCAATCATAGAAATTAGTGAGAAATATTTGTTTGTTACTTGAATTAGTTCACAAAATTAAGTAATTTTTCCCCCATTTCTTTTCTGAACAAAAAATATCAGATTTTGACAGTAGTTCAGAAAAGAAGAATACAAATTAGAAATTAATCTAAGATATTGCAAATTTTTTTCGTTATTTTACACTCAGAAAATTTCTCACACTTTGCTCATACTTCTTAAAATAAGCTTAAGAAATTATTTAGTGAAAGATTGTATTTTTTATTAAAAACATAAAATTCCTTTGCATAACAATAGATAACAATGATAAAGTATAGTGATAAATAATTCATTCATCTTTTAATCCAAATTTTTCATTTTCATTTTTACAAGAAAAAGTCCACTTAAGAGGGGGGGGAGGAAGAAAGAGGGTTTTATTTTGGATTATTTCTTAAGATTGACGTTAATTACTTAAAGGCCAATAATTTAAGAATTGAAAAGAATGTTAGTTTCTGCAGAGTTAAGACAAGAACCTAACACTTGGAAACAAATTATAGTCATAGAATTTTCCAGATATGAGAGCTACAGAGGTGCTGGGGTACTAGTTATTTTTGTTGAGTGGTTGGTTACTTATTCTGAGTACCAATTGTTGTGGAGCTAACTTACAGCAAAAGTCTAATCAATGTATTTTGGGTTTTATGATGAATACTATTTGGCTGTTTTTCATAACAGGGCTCCAAAGCAGTTGCTACATTTTTAATAATATTCTACAGAAAGTTTATAGATTCTATTTTTTTATTACATGAACAAAATAATGCATCAATAGTTGAAAATATAGGTGCAATAAAAAGACATTTATCACCATTTTTGGAACCAAACACAGCTCTTAGTTTTATAAAACTGAAATTAACATGTACACACACATACATAGAACTAAAGGGTGGTTCCCACTGGGGTTTATCTGAGCTAACGGAGTAAGTTCCATGTGTCGACTAGCTCTGCTGTGCCTGCAGTTCAGTTTTTTCAACTAGCTGCCTATGGGAAAAAAACTAGTTTTAGAGAAGGGTTAGCTACGTCAGTTGTGTTCGTTAGATAAACCCCAATGGGAGCAGCCCTTAGCTGTAAATACCAAATCCAAATAAACTGATCTGTTCACAATGAAATATTACAGAAAATAATATATAAAACTTGCTTTTCCAAAGACTCACTTAAATATGCTTTTGTCCATATCAGAAACAGGAAGGAAATACTCTTCTAAAATTTCTTTAGAAGGCAAATGTTGCACAACTTCCATCAAGCTACTCATCTATATAATAGTTTTTAAAAATAATTAATAACAATTAAATATCTCACCAGTATGGTCACTAGGGTAATATATATTTGTAATCATTTTTGCAGAAAGAATATTAAAAATGTAAAAGTACATATAAAACTTAAGAAATGAGAAACTATTCAAAAGTTAAAATTTAAAAAAAAAAAAAAATTAATGCATCTATCTATTCTTAATAAAGTAAAAGTATTAACCGTAAAGAAAAATAAAGTATAATAAGCCCATCTTATCCTGCATTTTAGGATAAAAAAATTATTTTCATTTTCTGAATTTTTGAAAATTACATAACACAATATAGTTGTAATGGTCATTCAAAGTATCTGACTCCAAATACAGCAGCTCTTCAGTCACTAAGTAGCCAGCCAATTACCTTCTGCAGCTCTGTCACTACAGCAAGTACAAGAAAATTAAGCATTTATAAAGTACACTCTTTTCAAATCACCAAGAAAAATCGAAACACCAAAAACCAAGAAGGATTTTAGCGATCGTAATGAAATTTGGTAAGCAAAAACATCTTGATCGAACATGCACATGGTCAAAGTTTCAAGGCAAATCAACAGGAATTGCGATCATAGTGCGCATTTCTAGTGCACAATTTGCAAAGTATAAAACCAATAACTGAGGCAGAAAATTTATCCTTTTTTCTTGCTGTCATTCTAATTCTGTAAAGAAGCAACTAAAGATGCCATTATGACGATATCGAAGACTTTACAGACAACTAAAGGACTTCGAAAATGGTCGCATTGTAGGGTTGCATGAGGCTGGGTAGTCATACCGAGCAAGCGGCTGGGTAGTCATACCAAAGATTTTGGCAGCAATGGTTGCTACAAGGAAACTGCTGACGAAATGAAGGTTCTGGAAGGCCAAGGATCACAAATGTGAGGCAAGCTAGGATGATTGTTTCCCAGGCCCGAATCGCCCCAGTGGTATCATTGTCGACTATTCAAGGCACTACAGCCATGTGTATACATCCCATTGTACCGTCCACCAACTCACGGCGCTTGTCTGAGGCGGGGTAACGCTCACAGATGCCTTTAAGCCGTTAGTCCCTTTGAACCGAGCCCACAGGATCCGCGGAGTTGTCTGGAGTGGTTTCGTAGCCGATTACCATGGCTACCATCAAATTGGCATCGTATAGTGTTCAGCGATGAATCCTGCTTCACTCTTGAAGCAGATGACCACAGTGTTCATGTCTGGAAAGAACAGCGTCAGCAGACCCAATGAGCCTTTGTTTTACCAAGGCATACACCCATAACCCCTGGTGTGAAGGTGCTATTTCTTATGACAGCAGGCCATCTTTAGTCATCCTTTGTACATCTTTAACAGGTCAATGATATGTTAATACCATCCTGAGGCCAGCTGCATTAGCCTTCATAGTACATCATACTGGGGTCATTTTTCAACAAGATAATGCCAGGCCACATACTGCTCACGTATCTCTGGACTGTGTTCGTGCGGTTGATACTCTTCCTTGGCCAGCAAGGTCACCAGACCTTTCACGAATCTAGCATGTCTGGGAATGCCTATTTTTAAACCACTTGATCTTGTATTTGTTATTGTACAATATACGTTAAATATTTTTTACTACATATTCAAGTATAAAAGAACAACAGTTAGATACCATTAGATAAATTATAACCTATTTTTACATGCTGAACAGCCTCTATTTTCTTTTCCTTCATTCCAAAATGATACAAATTTAAATATTTTAAATTGGCCATTAAGCAAAATTCATTATAAGAAATATGAAACATGGAGATGTTGCACACAAGAAAATATGGAAGAAATACTGAAATATTATTCACATTACATATTTTTACATGGTTTCTTGCTAAATTATTAGGCGTTTTGCTTAAAATCTTACATTTTACTACCATTAATAATGCATGGGTACATAAATTTTAATATTTTATTTGTGGTCTATTATATTAGCAATGATGATAATAATTTTTTCATATCAGAAACATATCAAAAACTTCAAAAATAATATTTTTACCTAGCAAAATGTATATAAAACTTGAGTTGTCTCACTTTATTGCAAAATAGTTTTGTAAAGAATATTTATTACTAACAGTTTTGAATTTTTTAAATTAATAGTAACCTTATTTTCATTCAATGCTGCTAAAATATTTGGTAGATTTAACAAATCATTATTACTTAAAATGGATGAATAAAACTGCATTTTACCCTGCCCCCTTTCCCCCCCCCAAAAAGGGCAGCTGAACTAATGATCATCTGAAAGCTAAAAACAAATCCGTGCACAGTTCAGTTCTCATAGCTATAGATTCAGTACTCACAATTTCAGTTATTTACAGTTTACTGAAGTTTGAAAGAAACTTTTAAATTATAGGCATCAACAGTTTATAATTTTTAAAAGTGTGAGCTAAGAAAGAACAGACTGTTATGTCGTAACAAACACCAGATTCAAAGCACCCAGTATTTTCTGCCCTTCAATCCTGCCCATGAACATAAATCTGCATGTGAATTAGGGCTGCAGCTGTTTAAGCAGTACTCTGATGAAAATGCAGTTCCTCTGTCATGTTTTAAAATCATTCATGATAATCATATAGTACAGTATTTTTTTACTGCTCTGTTAGTTTCTAAGGATTACTATAAAATGACAGAATTCATTACCTGATATATGAGAAATGAAAGCACACTTTTTATGTACAATTCAGCTTACTGTAATATTTATTACTACTTTATATCATAAAGGTAATATTTTACTCCATCTAATTTCTGTATATTGCCAGACTATAATATTATATATGGCATTTAATACACCTTGCAGTTCTGTGCAAGATATTACGGGGGAAAAAATGTAGAAAGGATAGAAGAATGCATAATACATTGAATTACTACATCAGAAATAGAAAGAGAACTTCAACATATCTACATTCAAAATAGGAAATTGTAAAACAAAATTTTAATTATACAGATTCAAAATGTATAAACTGAGGTGTGAACCCCCCCCCCCAAAAAAAAACTATTAGCTAAAGTGGTTTTATTAGCAAAACAATCTGCCTTAGCCTCAACCTGAACTCGCAGCATGCATGATTAAGAAACCCCTTAAATAATTTACAAAAATGTCTAAAAAAGAAATATTCACATTTTTTAAAATTAAAACGTAATCTTATAATATGTGGTGACTGAAAAAGTCAAAATTTTGTGACAAAAAGAAAAAAAAAAAAAAAAGTTCACTGTGATTAGACTATTCCTAAAATTTAACATTCTCCTTCCATAACGATGGAGGTCTGTGATTAATAGCAACAACTGAGATTACCTAAACATAATGGAAGAAACAATGAAAATTGAAGTTTTTTTTTTTAAGTCCAAAGGGGCTTTGTTCTGAAGGATTATTGTTTTCATTTTGCGTTCAATCATTATAAATGTCCGTTTCACTTTTCAAACTGCTGCCCCCCAAATGTTGGACTCCTGTATTATATTTAAAGAAATTAAATAATAAAAAATCTGCATAAATGTAGGTATATTTCTTGCATTGTGATAAAACAACGGTACCTAGAACCATTGAATTTTGAACGACGTAATCCTCCTACGAATATGGGCATGACGAAGATCAAATTTGAAATTTGTTTTATTATTGATTTCATATTTGTAAAACTTTTACAAATTTTTTAGTAAGAAACTCAGCGATTTAAAAATGAGCAATGGCAACACTCTACGGAGGGAAAAAAAAAACTTTTTATCTCCAGTGTGCGGAACTGTGTATCGAAAATTCTAAGGATATGCTCATTTCAAAATTATTTTGCGACATTACTATTGAACTGAATTAAGTGCAAAGAACATGATATTTAATAAATAAAGGTAACACACAAAGTGTTAAAAAAACACCTCTTTGAACGCAATTAAAAATCTGAAACCTTTCAGATTTTTTTTTTTTTTTTCTTTAAACCAAGATTTTGAAAGAATGCTTCTGCAAATCAGTAATGACGTACAGAATATAAAAATCTCATTTTTAAGCAGAATGGAATATTCTGTTGTGAAACCCACAATACGCAGAAGTTTCCAGCCTAAGAAAATGTCACTATATTGAGAAATTCTGTAATTTCAACTCTGTCATAAAAGTTCACACACACACACACACACACACACACACACACACACACACACACACACACACACACACACACACAAAAAAAAAAAAAAAAAAAAAAAAAAAAGAAAAAAACCTCCTTACAACTTTTCTTACAGAAAGGAAACTGGTAAAGATTCTTATTAATTTATCTCTATATTCCACTGATCAAAAGAAAAATTTTAAAAAAAATCATATAAAGTATATGCTTTTCATGCAAAAGAACTACAGACTGCTAAAGAAGGGCATATAAGCTACACCTACTTTTATTTTATAAAATTAATAAACTGAAGTATTTATGTACCTTCTGCCTTGCAATCCTGCCCATCCATTAATGTAATTATAAATAACTTTAAGTAAATCATATAAGTAATTGAATTTTAATTAACATATCCTACCAAAAACTAAAAAATTCTGAACTTTTCCCTATAGATTTAATAGTGCAGGAAGGTTTAATACTATTGAGATACCACACATTTATTAATATATAAACCATCATTGATATAATAAATACATACTGAAAAACTGATAAGCTCTACATACTTTTTATGAAGTTCGCCATTTCATACATAATTCCAGAACAATATGCATAATAAAAAATATACCTCTCCACAAAAAGATATTAAAGATTTAAGTATGTTAAAACTTACTTGTTTAGCACCAAATATGCAGATGATATTATCTTTGAAATTTTGAGAGTTATTTGTAGATAAAACTACATTTTTCTTCCTGAAATAATGTAAATTATAGAATAATTAATACATGAAATATTAGGAATTTCAACATTTTCAAGTGGTTCTACTAAAATTTTAAAAGCAGCAGCAGAAAATAATAAACCTAGTTATATGAGTAGAGTACTCAATTTTACAATGCAAATAAAGAGATTTAAAGACATAGATAACCAGTTCATAACATGGTAACTAGATACTACAGTACTTGAAATACAAATTATTATTAAGAGACTAAATATATACAATAACAGTTTTACATAGCAACAATAAGTACCTTAAAAAGTATTGTTAGAATTATCCTTAAAACCTGAGATAGTATGTAAGTGTAGAATGATGAAAAAAAAAAAAATTTTTTTTACCTTAAACAATAATATATGCATTTTGTCATTCAAAACAAAAGCTTATTCTAATGTATACAAGAAATGATATAAAAATATAATTAACTATTATAACAAACACCTATATAACTTACCCTTTATCTGTAATATTTGTACATGAAATGCGCTTATTTGTACTAATAAGACAATATGCTGTCAAAAGTTGTAACATTTTAAAATATTCTCGGCGAATATTTCTTAAAAATTCTTTATGCCGAACTGGTAGAGTATAGAACAAATTCTTTAATGTGACAGTAGTACCTGCCTAAAAGAAATAATTAAAAATAATAATGGGCAAGTTAAAGAACATTTGTATACAATCTTGATAATAATATGATAATGATAATAAATAAAATAAAAATTTACCATGCTAAGAAACAAATATGAAAATTGCAAATACTGATATCTTTATGTTTATTCTTAGCAATAAAACCCCAGATAATCTGATTATAAAATGCTATTTGAATAACACTACCCCAAAATAATTAACTCAGCCTGAAATCAATGGTTTGTATTAAACTATTAAAATTTTAGGTATAATATTTGTTAGAGAATAATAAATTACTCCATTATATCTGCATGCAGGGTTCATAGCCCCATTTTAGTTAAAAAAAATAAGCACCTACAAGCACTTTTCAAGCACATTTTAAGAAAAAAAATAAGCACTTGTCTAATTACATTATACACAACTGCATAACCTTAAAAATTAGACTTGTAATTTAAAATATGAGAAATGCAGTATTTATTAAGAGAGAATAAGCATTACCTCAACCAAGGAAAATATTTTTTTTTTTTTTTTTTTTAATTTTAAATAACAGTTCAATTTACAGAACTAGTTTACAATGAGAGGGGAAAAAAACTATGCAGAACTAAACTATATTACAAGATTTAATGATGAAATTTCAGTTCAAAATAGAGGAAATAAATAATAATAAGGCATATTTATTGTATTCGCTTGGAACCTAATAATAAATACAATTTATTTTTCCACTCATATTGATATTTAAATCTAAATTCTGAACATTTTATAAATTTTCATTGTATATCAGTTTTCTCTTAACAGGTATTGCAAGCAAAGTAATTTAAGTAAAAAAGAGGAACATTTCTGAAATCAGAAGACAGAAATTTGCTTCATGCACTCATCCTTTAACAGTAAAAGCTTAACCCCTTGGGTACGGATTTATTTGAGAAAATATTTGCATGTGAAACGGATATAATTTTTGGTTGCAATTCATCAATAGCTACTTCACTATCAGGAGTATAAAGGTAACAAAATGTATTACTTATTTAATCTGCTATATTTCTAATCTTTCTTATTCTGTCATCTTTATTTTCCTTTTCATTATCCGTAAAATGTAGAAAGCTTGAAATATCAAAAAACCTATCGCGTGCCACAGTGCTGGCAAAAATTGGGGTATTTATTGCATATCGTTTTGACCAATACATATGCATTTTCGGCTTCTTCATTCGCGACATCAAGATGCATAATACAATATAAGCTTTCGTTTCATCAGAACTTGCAGGAAACCCCCTTTGGTTTTTTTTTTTTTTTTTTTTTTTTTTTGTTTTTGTTTTGTTACACAACCTTCTTTTTCTATCCCTTGTCTGGCATATCTATTCGTCTCTTCTACTATAGTGTCCCAAAAATCTTCATCCAAGACTTCTTTCAAAACATCTAAAGGCGCAGGATTACCACCTAGTCTACGCAGGCAAGGATTAATTTCAGATATTTCAAAAAAACTTTTTATATCGGCTACATTTTCTTCTTCTTCCCAAGTCCATTCCTCTGATACTGGTTCACGAGAAGATTCACTGTAACTGCTCGATAGACGTCTTGTGCGTTTTCAAAACCTTGATATTATATTACAATTGTCATCATTTTCTAGTTCAATATCGTCTTCATCACCTTCGCTTTGTATTTCATTGTAATTGTCGATTTCAGGATCACTAAACAATTCTTCTTTAGATTTCTCAAAGTCACTTTCGCTATCACTATCATAAAATATATTCCTTGTTTTTGACATAATGGGGCTGTGTATCGCAAATAATGTTCACTGAAATACTGTAATTGCCCCTTCTATTATGACTGATACAAGCTACAATGAAATGAACAGAATTATGCCTAACCTCAAATAACGTTTTAGACACGTCATCCGCTCCTAGAGAAAACAAGTGAATGATGTCTCTCAGACGTCAAATGTACCCAAGAGTTTAATTTTTGGTTTGACGTCTTAGACACGTCATCCGCTCCTAGGGCGAAAAAGTGAATGACGTGTCTCAGACGTCAAATGTACCCAAGGGGTTAACTAACCTGCATACTTGGAAATTGGCGAATATTCGGACAGTCGAGCATAACTTGAAAAAGAGCAGCGGGGAGGGGGGGGGTAGACTGTACCCGCTCTTTAAATTTTTCCACTAAATAAATGCTTTTGACATTTCAATATGTGCTTCATATAAAAATAAACCAATGGAACTGAAAAATATTCTGCTTAGCAAGCACAGTAAAACTCTTTTAAGTGTTCATAAACAAATCTCGGACAGAACATCAAAATTAATTATCTCTTCAAAATATAGCAAACGTTATTGCGCAATACGTGCGCTGTAATTCTTCCCTACGTGATGTTATGCAATCGAAATCAACAGCTGCCGGTATTGGGAGAATAAAGAACTAAATAACTGGGGTTTTTTTCATTCTAATTTTCAACAGACGGCGTTAAATTTCTGGAATAGAATCATTCTTCGCTTGGGTTGGTAGACAGCAGAACTTTTAGTCCTATTCAATCCAGATTGGAAAGTGACAAAAGAAAGTCCATTGCTTGTTTTGCAGTGAACTGTAACAGTTTCAATATTCGAGATTTTGCGGAGAAAGGGGAGAACCTCCCAATCTTCGTACTGTATAATGTATTGGCCAAAAAAATGAAATTATTTTGACTATTCAATTACTTTCCCTTTATTTAAGCCATTCCGAATATTATTCCTTAGAAAACTAATCTCTGTTAAAACACAACCATTTTTTAAAGTTTACTATACTTCAGCAGTTACTGCAACTGTGTTATTATAAACATTCATACATATGCTCATAATATAAGCATAACGATCATAATAAACACAAATATGAACTGACCAAGCGGAACGAGAATGCAAATTATTAAGATCTTGATAGAAATTCAAACGTGTGTAATATTTGGGTGGGAGGAAAAGAATGCCGAATTTTCCTGAATGCTTTCGCAAATCTTTGACCAATAGAATGACGGGCACCTGTCTGTACTCTTCGTGCACACCAAAGGTTATGTTAATGCAGAGAAAGGGTAAAAGCTATTTCCGGGAGTAAGATTCATCATCTGACATTATACAACATCATCTGACAATCTATGATTAGGAAGAAAATTTGTTTATTTAGTTTTGGCTTTGGTACAGGGAAAAATAGCGCGTTCATTAAAAAAAAAAAAAAAAAAAAAAAAAAAAAAAAACACTAAAAACAAAAAAAATAAGGGCTTTAAAGAAAAAGTAAGCACCTATAAGGGCTTTATATTTTATTTTCAAATATAAGGACTTATAAGCACTTATAAGGACCGCTACGAACCCTGGCATGTTATTAGCCTATATGTATTTTTTTATTACAAATAGAAGATCTATTCTCAAAATTAATAAAACTGTAAAACAATATGAAATTTATGTTGGCAATAATGATATACAATAGATACTTGTAAATTATAATTTCTTTCGACAATAAAATCAAAATTAAACATTTTATGCATATGATCTCATTTTAATGATATCCTCTCTAAGTAGATGAGAAAAGCACCTTCATGATTATCAGTAAAGTTCACAAATAACTTATACATACAATAAATATGAAGATAAAATAAATGCATATTAGTGATAACTCAAAAACATTTCAAAATTTTAAAAAAAAAAAAATCTTAAATAAAAAATTCCTTATTTTAAACAAATAAACCTCTGAATATGTATTTTGAAATATCCAGTTAAAAGGCCTTTCAAGTTTAATGCATTTGATCTCTATCCTAAAATAATAATTTTAACATATTGTATTAATACACCAAAAAAGATTTCTACTTCTCTGCCAAAGTTTGCAAAAAATAAACATTTTAATTGTTTTGCTGTTAATAAGCTATTACTCATGATATTAAGTATTACTTTGACTTCCTAAATTAAGAAATTGATGCTCTATTTATTGAATTCTAGTTTAATAATCTGTGCTATGTTTTCCAGATATTCTGTTATGTTTGAATAGGGCTTAATTACAGTATCATGTCATATAACAATAAAAATAAAAAATTCATACACTTTCATATAAACACATACAGTCAAAAGTCTTTAATCCGAACTCGTCGAGACTTCGGCGATTCCGGATTATCGATTTTTCCGGATTGTAGATCATCAGTTTAAATGTAGTAAGATGGCATGCAAAAATTATAAAATTAAAAATATGAAACCGTAATTTATGAAATAAAGAGCAATTATGATCTAAAGGGTATCAAAATTTACAAAAAAAAAAAAAAAAAAAAAAAAAAAAAAAGCTTAATATTTATTTGTTTACTTTATTAAACATTTCTTTCAATGCGCGCATGCGTAAAGCATACATTACGCATAGTCGAAATTAGAAAATTGCAACCAGAAAACTATTTTATTTGTATTCGTGATATTTATAATGACGAGGAGTTTGATTTAAATCATATCAAAGACGGAGTACATTGAGATGAAATACTACATTTAGTAAGGAATTATAAGCCGAATAAACTAAACACATCTGCCCTGAAGATAAGGATAGTGCTGACAGATCAACTTCCAGTTCACTGCATGCCGCGACGCCCCCCCGTGCAGAGCAGCCTGAGATTGATAAACAGATTTCGGAATGGTTAGAGAAACAAAAGATATGCCTTTATCCATTTTTTTCAGCAATTCCACTTTTTGTTTGATGGACATTGAAACATGCTTTCGCTTTGTAGATCCTTTGGCAGCTCCAGAATCGGAAATTCTTTTTTACATAATCGAAAGTTCAAGCTTACTTTTATAAAATTGCTCTAACAGTCTGCATAAAATAATAAGCCGGATCCAATTAGAAGATTAAGGAACAATGCAATCTGCAACATTAACTGAAATAGATAATTAGATAATTTTAGCTTAGCTTATACCGTCCCTTATACATTAAACGCACATGCGTAAACCTATTATGCGCATGCCCAGAAAATTTGTAGCTTTGAGGTCCAGATTATAGATCATTCCAGATTATGGGTGTCCGGATTAATGACTTTTGACTGTATTACATTTTAATTTTACAAATATATTAATTTTCACTAGATAAGAATGATGTTTATTTTCAGTATATTGATTTCATTAATAATTTCAGCTTTCAGTCATACAGTCTTCACCACAATTTATAAATTTTCAGTTTAGAAGATACAATTTACACTCTTTTGCCAAAAAAATTAAAGCACCATGAAGGAAGTGGTTGTATTCGGTAAAAGTGAATATGTGTAAAGCTCATACACAGATAATAAAATGATTAGAAAATCAGGCCATTGCATGTGTTCAAGGCTCACAACTACACACTGAATGTTCAAATTAGTAGTTGGTTGAATCGGAATTCGTCGAGGCATGGAATGGTAAAGGTTTCTAATGTCATCCTACGACACATTCTGCCAGGCATTCATCAGTTGTCGCTCCAGATCTGCGATATTTTGTAGTGCCCCAATCTGGCGGCCTACTAAGTCCCAGACATGCTCGAGTGGTGAAAGGTCTGGTGGCCTAGCTGGCCAAGGATGTGTATCCACCACACGGAGACAATATGAGATATGTGAATGGTATGTGGCCTGGTGTTATCTTGTTGGAAAATGGCCCCAGGATGATGTACTATGAAGGGTAATGCAACCGGCCTCAGGATGGTATCAACATATCGTTGAGCTGTTAAAGATGTACAGAGGATGTTCTGTTGTCATAAGAAATTGTGCACCACACCTTCAAACCAGGAGTTATGGCCGTAAGCCTTGGTAAAACAAATGGCGATTGGGTTCGCTGGCGCCATTCTCTCCAAACAAGAACACGGTGGTCATCTGCTTCAAGAGTGAAGCAGGATTCATTGCTGAACACTATATGATATGCCAGTCTGATGGCAGCCATGATGATCGGCTGCAACACCACTCCAGACGATGTTGTGGGGTCAATGGCAAACATCTTAAAGACCTCTGTGAGCGTAACTCTGCCTCAGACAAGCACCGTAAGATGGTGGACTGTACAACGGGAGGTATAGACGTGGCTGTAGTGAGTTGAATAGTCGACACAGGCCTGGTGAACAATCATCTTATCTTGCTTTGCATTTGTGCTCCTTGGCCTTCCAGGGCCTTCATTTCATTCGCAATTTTTTGGTAGTAACCATTGCTGCCAACATCTTTGCACAGTAGTGTCTATGTGCTGCAGGTGACAGCCTATTGCTCGGCATGACCACCCAGCTTCACACAACTCTACAATGTGACTACTTTCGAAGTCATTTAGTTGTCTGTAAGGTCTTCGATATTGTCGTAATGGCATCTTTAGTTGCTTCTTTACAGAATTACAATGGCAGTAACAAAAAAAGATAAATTTTCTGCTTCTGTTACTGGTTTTATACTTTGCAAACTATGCACTAGAAATGTGCACTATGATCACAATTCCTGTTCGTTTGCCTTTAAACTTTGTTCATTTGCATGCTCGATCAAGATGTTTTTGCATACCAAATTTTGCCATGATCGCAAAAGTCCTTCTTGGTGCTTCAATTTTTTTTTTTTTTTCAAAAAGCGTTTGTATATATATATATATATATATATATTAATATATATACTATATTTATATATGCCTTGTATATTATAATATTATATAATAATGCAAAAAAATTTTAAACAAATCTGACAGGACATCACGACTTTCATGTATGGACTAGTAAGTTATGCACATACTTTTTTGTTGCATTTCATTTAAATATATTTATTGAATTTCATTACAAATATATTTCTCATTTAATTAATTCAGTTCTCACTTCACAGCAAGGCCAAAAACATCTAAAAACTCAATAATCTTCATTAAAATGTGTAAACTACAGAAAAACATAGAACACCAAATACATTTAGAAACAGTTCGGAAAAAAATCTTTACAGTTAAAATTAGAGTTTCTATGCAAAAAAGAAGCAATTTGGCCAGAGGCTAGGAAGACAGATTTTTCAGCACACTAAATTGAAAGTTTACTTTTGGTCCCACTCAGAAAAAAGAAAGTAAAGTTGGTGCCAAACTGATTTACTTCACTATTCTACTAAGAATGTAAACAAATGGTGGCTTCGTTAGGCTTAGTGCCACTTAAACAACTTTTAAATTGTTGGTAATTCTACATCTATTGCATGCAGATTAACTAAAGGCATAAAAACCTTAAGTGAAACATAAGAACATAATTCAATCACTTTTAAAGTAAAAAATGCACAAATTACCAACATGTAAGAATAAAACCTGAGCTCACCGAGCCAGGTAACAGGATATATATATATAGCAGTCATTAGTCAAATGTAATGATTAAAAAATATTTGTACTGATACACTTGATATTCAAAATGAGATACTAATACTAATTCAAGTACTTAAAAATAATTTGGTGCCAGAAAAATTTATTAATTACTGGCTTAAGAAAGCAGGAGTTAAATACTCTGTTTAAATCTGTTAACTAATAGGGTTATGATAATTTATTCCTGAACCTTCAAAATGCGGAATAAGTTGGATAGCTGTTAGTTAAAGATTTGAAAATTTTCTAAATAATTTTTGCATATAATGTAAATTACAAAAATTGTTTTCTGGCATTTTATTCTGTTACTAATTAATGGGCCTACTTCATGTTTCTCTCAATCTGGTAAACTGGCCTTTACCAGCGAAGATACCTCTTTCTTTACATTTTTTCAAACCATCACCAAAAAAAAAAAAAAAAAAAAAAAAAAAAAAAAAAATTTCATCAGTTTAATTTAAAAAATTTTACTAAAAATTTAGTCTCTAATGCTGACTTTAACAGTAAGATTATCTCGCCAATTTAAAGCTACCATAAATGAAACAGAAAACAACACTTCACCAATCACTTATTACAACAACCTTATTACATTCCATCACTGAATATATTTACATTTCCAGCCATTTCGTTTTAAATTTTGCAGACAAGTAAGTTAATTTTAATTTTCTTCCTGGCGTTGTTCCTAAACTTGTATATAAATAGCTGCTTTTAAGTTAATGTATTAATATAAAAGAATACATAAATTTTGATTTTACTTTTGATTTTGAAATTAACATTTCAATATAAAAGAATGTATAAATTTTGTTTTTACTTTTGATTTTGAGTTTGATTACCTAAGAATATTTTAATCTAAAATAATATATTCTTTTTACTTTTGATTCTGAAATTAATGTTTTGATATACAATAATTAATATCTTCTTTTGTATACATTAATTTGTACAAATTTCGACAGATTTTATTGTTTTTATGATACTTTGGAATATTTTTTCTAAAATAAGGATCTCATCTAATTTAGTTCTTAACGAATACCTTAAATTAAGAAGACTCTTTTTACTTATTTTTATTTTAGATTTTGTTTATGATAAATTTTTTTTTGGCTTAAGTACACTAATTTCTTTCTAATAATTAAGTATTGTTCATAGCTTATGATCTAATTCTAACAAAATAACTAATTTTATCCTCATTTGAAAAAATATGAAACACTCTCAATTTAGTTATTGTTAATTGACAGTAGATTGGTTTGTTCCCCTTGACAAGTCAATTAATCTGCGATCAATAACAATAGCTACTTTTCAGGACTTTGGATTTTGAATCTAATACTTGGAATTTTTACGGTTAAAGGATTTTTTCTATTGAGATTTTAAATACTTTTTGCTACAATAGAAATCTAAATAAATTTAGAAACTGACTTATAATGCTACTTAAATTGCTTACAAAATTTTTTTCTAATAATTCACAGCTTTAATTAAATTTCTTTTTTTATTGGCATTTCCATAATTTTAAACAGGTAAATAGCAGAAATTTTTGAAAACGATCAAAATTATGTTTAATGTGAGTTTACATGAACTAGTTCACTATAAAAAAATAAGAAATAAAACATGAAATCAAAATGATGCTAAGTACCTGACGAGCAGTAGGTGAAGATTTTATTAGATTTCCATCATGATCAAAGGTTAAAACAGAACCTATCGAAGCATCACAGTGACATGTTGTAATTTCTAAATCACTAAATAGAGAACAAAAATACATTAAGATTTTAATATAAACTACAAAAGCAAAAAAGTTTAAATGACTGATATAAATTTTGTGCTTTTTAAGGAAGACTTATAAACTCATAAAAAGAGACCCTTTTCTGCATTTCCAGATTATAACTTAACATTGCTATTAAAAAAAAAATGTTTTACTACTATTATTTGAAAAAATAATGAAAACTTTGACTATATTTGTGGAATAAAAAGTTTACAAATAGCCATTATCTTTTTAAGTAATTTCTTTTAAATAACATGAATTTTTATGAAATGACTGCTAACAATTCTTCAAAAACAATACAAGAACTTATAATAAACTATGTTTAAAAAATTCAATAAAAATGTAAACAAAACTAACAAAACATTTTAATAATAATATATAAACATTATTACAATATTAAAGATAATTATAATTATTATAAAATTAAGTGCAATTTTGATTATTATAATAAATACTAAAATAATAAATTTCAATAAATTAACACTGTATTCAAGCAAGAAAATTGTGAGGAATTTTCTGGTCTTAAAAACAAATTGTCTTTCTTTATCTAATTACAACATTTAGAACATATAATTTATTTTGAAAAAAAAAATTATTAAACAAAATTCTTTTTGATGAGAGCATTGCACCTAAATATATAAATTATAAAATGTAAACACACAAATTCACAAAAGTTTTATGCATTCTTGGTTTAAGAATTTATATGTTTCCCTTTTAATTAATTTGTAATCATTTGCAAACAACATGTTGAAAAAATGCTTAAAAATTAATTAATAATTTGAGAGAAAAAATATATACCTAAGAGCACAAAGTGAACTCAAAGCTTCCCCACGAAATCCAAACGTAGATACAAATGGTAAATCAGAAAAATCTTCAATTTTAGAGGTATGATGTTTCAATGCTAAAAAAAGTATACAAAAAATAAGAAAATCAAAGTTTATAATTTATATACTATTTAAATTGATATCATCTCAATGATTTTTACTATTTATTTTACATTAAATTTTATTTCTGGTAAGATTTTGCTAATTATTGCCGTTTTATTTGGTACTTTCTGATTATCCACACTCCCCTGAAAAGCAATAAGGCAATACATTATGCTGCCAAAATAGACCACCCACAATGCTGGCAAAATATACTAGAGTGGCAACCCAGGTATGTGCATGCAAACACAGCAGACAAGTAGAAATTCCTGCCTTCAAATTTGATGGTCATTATTGTCTGTTTTATATGTATCAAAAGTGTTATTTTTTTAAAAAAAATGGTAATGGGATTGCGGAGTTTGTTAGCCTTTGAAAAAGAAAGTACAGTCAAAAGTCTAATCCGGACTTGTCGGGACTCTGGCGATTCCGGATTATCGGATTGTTTAAACTGATGATTATATATCATCAGTTTAAATGTGGTAAGATGGCATGCAGAAATTATAAAATTAAAAATATGAAACCGTAATTTATGAAATAAAGAGCAATTATGATCTAAAGGGTATCAACATTTACAAAAAAAAAAAAAAAAAAAAAAAAGCTTTATATTTATTTGCTTACTTTATTAAACATTTCTTTCAACATGTGCATGCGTAAACCATACATTACGCATAGTCGAAATTAGAAAATTGCAACCAGAAACTATTTGATGTGTATTCGTGATATTTATAATGACGAGGAATTTGATTTAAATCATATCAAAGACAGAGTACATGGAGATGAAATACTACATTTAGTAAGGAATTATAAGCCGAATAAAATAAAAACATCTGCCCTGAAGATGAGGATAGTGCTGACAGATCAACTTCCAGCTCACTGCGCGTCGCAACGTCCCCCCCCCCAGAGCAGCGTGAAATTGATAAACAGATTTCGGAATGGTTCGAGAAACAAACTTTATCCATTTTTTGCAGCAATTCCACTTTTTGCTTGATGGACATTGAAACATGCTTTCGCTTTGTAGATCCTTTGGCAGCTCCAGAATCGGAAATTCTTTTTTACATAATCGAAAGTTCAAGCTTACTTTTATAAAATTGCTCTAACAGTCTGCATAAAATAATAAGCCGGATCCAATTAGAAGATTAAGGAACAACACAATCTGCAACATTAACTGAAATAGATAATTAGATAATTTTAGCTTAGCTTATACCATCCGTTATACATTCAATGCGTATGCGTAAACATATTATGTGCAAGCGTAAATGCATTATGCGTTTACACATGTGCAGAAAGTTTGTAGCTTTGAGGTCCAGATTATAGATCATTCCGGATCATGGACATCTGGACTTTTGACTGTATTACATTTTTTCAGAAATATGGTGTTTTGCTAAAATAGCAGAGAATGCAAAAATTCGCATTCCAGGAAGTTGTGGTAAACATTTTATGGGTCAACATTTACGTAACAGGGGTAAACTTGTGCAATTCGGTATTTTTTTAAAAGTAAAAACTTATTACTGTGTATGTGGGAAAGTAACAGCATGCAAAATTCCAAATTTGTGCATATGTCTGATGTTTGTAAGCAAAAAATGTCTTAGTGCAGTGCTATTTTCAAAATAGTTATTGCCTTTCGTGTAGAGTACAAAGTCCAAGATCTGGACTTGTCAGGACTTCGATTTGCATTTCCAGATTTGTGATATTTCCCGATATTAGGTCAGAAATTTAAATCTAATTAAGATGATATGTACAAAGTTTTAAATTAAAAATATAAAATATTAATTTATGAAAAAATAAAGCATTTATGATCTTAAGAAAAACAAAATTTACCAAGAAAAACCCTTAGTATTTTTTGTTTGCTTTATTAAACATTTATTTCAATCTAAGTTGCTTCATTTTTGGTGCTAATGGTTTCCCTTTAATTCTATACATAGATGTAATTTCTTATTAAGTAACAAAGCTCCATGTTTAAGTCCTGCAACTGCCGTATCAAAAATTTCCACTAAACTGTTAAATGAAACTTTTTCATTCTCAACAAACTTTCTGCCACTTTCTTCACTATCTGTAGTAATATTTTTTGGATTTAGAATCATACTACACATTTGGTCACTCATAGCTAATTGATGATTGGGACACTGCCATTGCAATGAACAATTTCTATTATATCATCATTATTCATTATCACATTCAACATTTCTTTACAAATTTCATTCATTAGAAAATTTCACTTGTTGTTTGTGATATCTGAAAACCTTCAAATTGCGGCACTCATCATAAAGCTTAGCTAATGTTCGCTATATACTATTGGCGATGTATCATGAGATAGGTCAATAAGGATATGTTGTTCCGGGAAATTTTGTTTTGCTTCTATCACACACTACGAGAAAGTTAAATCTGACTTAGTTATTTATTTATTATACTTGTGCCTATTTGATGCACATGTTTAAGCTTATCTGTCTCTCAAATAAAGGGTTGGCACCGATATTGTGTGACTTGGTGCAATCTCTGCATGTCCTAAATTCTGCTGCCAAGCACCTTCCTGAATTCTAAGAATTTTGCATACCAATGCCTTCTCTAAATTCTAAAGATTTTTTTTTCCTTAATTTTGTTCAGTGCTTCTTACAAAATCTATTTTTTGCTTATAGGAAGATATTTCTGTTGAATTTCTTGTTGTCAACAAACTCAATACTTCACAGTGCATTTGAAGCCTGTAATCATCGACAAACATAATGTCTACATAAAAGGTGCCCATGCTCTTTGGTATCTAGTTACTGATTAAAAAAATGTTTAGATATCATTGTTTGAATCATTTATCAAGCTGCCGTGCACTGATAGTCATGGGGTGTGAAAGCACAAAATAATAAATAATGCTTTGCCAAATTGGCATCAAGGTTATAAATTATTCCATACATGTAATAATATATGATTGCTTCTTCAATATGGACATAATTTACTTAGTGACAAAGTGGAATTAAAAACAGGACTCCATACATTATTTACGTGAAAAAATACCAAATGCACATGCATAAAACATATTAAAACAAATTCCTTAAGGTTGCTGGTGGTCCAACTGTCTCGATTTTAGATCATTCTGGATATTAGACATCCAGATTTCAGACTTCATACCGCATTAACTCGGTGAAAAATTAGTCACCAATGAACTGCTGACTTTTTGATTGAGGGTGTGGATAATCAAAAGAGCACATTTAATGCTTTAAATTGTGAAAATTTGTTATCTAGAAATCTGAAATGCATTTCTAATAGAAAAATATTTTCATCTCATAATAATGGCGATTGAATATTGTTTTAAGCATACAAATGTATTTTGAAAATTACTCACTTAAATTCTGAAAGTCTGATTTTTTAACACCTTTGCCATTATCAATAACTTCAATAAATTCACTTCCATATTCTTTTAATTTCACATCTGAGGGAAAAATGTGGAACACAGTTTATTAACACAAAATGTAATTCATTCAGAACAGATTAATGCAGCATATATATATTAAAAATCAAAATGAGAAATTCACCATTTTACCTGAAGATATATAATAACGATCATTTTTATCTTTGATTGCAAGTATCAGTTTCAATGCTTTTAATGTTCAAAAAAATGCATAAATGAAATAACTATTAATGGCCAGACAGTAAATTACAGATTCCATAATTTAAAACTAGACAGAGGTTTTTAACAATAAAATCAGAGGTAAAATATAGACATTATATTTTATATAACAGCATTTAAAAAAAATACTTACAAAAATTTCATATGACAGTCACAGACCTTGAAGAACTATTAACCATTGTTTGTAATTTGATCTTGATTTTATACAGGGAAATCTTTTCTGCTTTAACTTGCATAGCAATATCTGCAGTTTTTCTGAGAATTTTCTTAGTATGTGATTTCATGACTTTGTTGTTTTCCCTGTAGAATTTTGGCTTTCCCATCTCCATGTTTGAGCATACAATGTTAAGATTTGCTGGAGGAAATCATCTTTTCTCAGCGAAACCCAGGATTTTGATGGAATTTCTCTGGATAATTTACACAACCCTTATAGGAAGTTGGGTGAGGACCTTCACTGCATTTTGTGCATCTTTTTTATTCAGTTTTTTAAATATCATATTGATGTGAGAAAAGGCTCTTTACAGCACTTTACACCATTGTTACAATTACCAAAAGAAGTAAATAATGCCCAAGATTTAAATATAATTAAGTTCAGTTATTAAATTTGTTCATTATTCTTTTCCATGACACATTAATAATTTTAAATGATAAATCACTTAGCAAAATATCATGGTTCTGATTCTTCTCTTGAATCACATATTTATAACTAATTATTTTATTAACAAAAATATAAAAACAATGAAATGTAATAACAAAAGTATTTAACTTCTCAGTATAAAAATAATCTGTAATTTTTTGCTGGTCTGATGGCAATTACAGGAAAATTTTGTCCAAAAATTGAAAAGATTTCATCACTTTTGATTTTCTGGTTTACATGAATAAACACTTATTAATGACATGCATTGCAGCCTCAGTATCAGCTGTGATAAGGAGTTAATGACACACATTGCAACCTCAACATTAACTGTGGAAGGGAGTTAACTTTCCGTGCAGTGTGTTTCCTCAACATTTTCAGAACCATCAATGCCGGAGTTAACAACATGCATCGCAATCTCAGCAACAACTGTGACAGGGAGTTAACTTTTCATGCAGTGTGTTTCCTCAATATTTTCAGAACCATCAATGTCAGAATTTCTTATTTTAATTTCTGTCACAATACTTTCATGACTTCGATTCTTGGATGTAACAACATGATTATTATATGATTGATAAAACTCCATATTACATTCTGAAAATACTGAATACCCCCTCTTTTTTATTCCTAGCCACTCAGAAATTGATAAATCCTTGTTTACAACTGTCTCTTCAACATGCTTTGCCAAACCAGCACACTGAAAACAGTTTTAGATGGTTTGTTCTGTAAGAAATTGGCTAGACTTTTCTACTATTAACATTACATTAAGAAGTGAAATGTTATAATTGATGCGATTGTAGTACTTCTTCAAAATACTTAAAATAAGCTGCTTCCTAAAATGACATTTCAAGCTCCCGATCATGCCTTGTTTCATAGGTTGCAGAACTGAAGTTGTATTCAAGGGCAAAAAAATTATTCCATTCTATGTTTCTGACTATTCTATGTATGTGTAAGCAGTATAATTGTCAATCAAAAGAAGAACTTTTGCTTTTTGACTGAAAGTTCTTTATCCAGTTTCTGTAACTCTTCATAAATTAGTTTTGATATTATCCATGCCTTACCCTTAACTTTCAAGGAAGCATGAACAGTTTTAACACTTTTTAAGAATCTTGGCTTTTGAGATTTTCCAAGCACAAAAAGCTTCTGATGCTGACACACAAAAGAACAACGATTCACACTGTTGAAAACTTTCTTCTTGTGCAGTCTTTAAATTTCAATGTTTGGTTTGATGGTATCTTGTAGAACAGCCTGGTTCTTTGGCAATGAAAATGTCCTTTTTCTTTGTCCTGGTTGAACACATCATTTCAAATATCCCTCTGCATCATTTTCTTGACACCTAATTCAGAAATGCTGCCTGATTCTCTGAAAAGTTTGTCTTAGGAAATATTGCCCTGCCTCTGAAAACCTATCCAAACAGCCATTTTGTTGTGGCCTTGAACTTATACAGAAACTTTAAATACTGATTAATATTGTTTTATTTGTTTTGAGAATGGCAACAATTTGAGCACAAAAAGGCAGCCTCTGCAAAGTGTTCGACCAATTCATTGGCCTTTATCTTAAGCATTTATCCAAATAATGGCTTATTATGACTCCTTTAAATGGTGAACCAATTCAGTCATGCTTCTTCAAAATCCTTATGTCTGGCCTTTTTCAACCTTTTTTTTATACAGTCAAAAGTCGTTAATTCGGACACCCATAATCGGAATGATCTATAATCCGGACATCAAAACTAAAAACTTTCTGCGCATGCGCCACGTTGACACATGCGCAGAGGCGTTCACGCGTGCACGTAAGACCTTTTACGACTGTGCATATGAGTGTGCGCAAGTGCAGAATACGTTTCCGCGTGCGCATTTTATGTATAATGGACGTATAAGCTAAAATTATCTAATTATCTATTTCAGTTAATGTTGATGATTGCGTTGTTCCTTAATTTTTGAACTGCATCCGGCTTATTATTTTTTGCAGACTGTAAGAGCAATTTTATTAAAAGTAAGCTTAAACTTTCGATTATATCAAATAGAATTTCCAATATATATTTGTTAATAATATGTAAAGGATCTAAAGCGAAAGTATGTTTTGAAATCCGAAATCTGTTTATCAATTTCACGCTGCTCGGCGGCGGGCGCCTAATGAATTGGAAGTTGATTTGTCAGCACTATCCTTATCTTCAGCGCAGATGTTTTTGTTTTATTTGGCTTATAATTCCTTACCAAATGTAGTATTTCATCTCGATATGCTCCGTCTTTGATATGATTTAAAACAAGTTCCTCGTCATTATAATTCGCTTCCGATAGCGAAGAAAAGTGACAGAGGTTATTGAAAACAAAAAAATTTCGATTGACAAATTAGTCGGTGTTCTTGACACAGCCATTATAGGACTTGAACCGCGGAACTTTGTAACTGAACAAGATATCATGTCTGTTTAATAGAATTAAAGAGAAAGTATTATTACATGAAACGAAGCAAAACTTAAACAACTTACATTGAAAGAAATGTTTAATAAAGTAAACATAAATATTAAGCTTTTTCTTTTTTTTTTTTGCAAATTTTGATACCCTTTAGATCATAATTGTTCTTTATTTCATAAATTAACGGTTTTCATATTTTTAATTTTAGAATTTCTGCATGCCATCTTACGAGATTTAAACTGATGATCGATAATCCGGAATCGCCGAAGTCCCGACGAGTCCGGATTAACGACTTTTGACTGTATTCAAATTTTTTTTTCAATATGTAGAAATTATAGAGTCTTGATTTTTCTATCTAGTACCAACTGTAAATTTGGATAAACTATATTACAAGCAAATATCAATTTGGCTGGATCCATTTTGTGTTTTTTTAGTATTGTTTGTTATATATTCAATGCAAAATGCTTTTAGTTTACAGCTTGCCAAGCAGATGAGATTTTGATGCTGAAACAGAGAGTTTGGGTACAGAAATTTTACAACTTTTGGTCTTTTGGAAAAGATGAAAAAGAAAGATAATTTTGTCTCCATGTTGTCTCATCCAATCATTCAGATAAGAATGACATAATTAAATCATTTTTAAAGCTAATATGTGCAATTTGCCAACATATAAGAATAAAAAAACTGAGCTGATGGAGCCGAGTAACACAGTGGGTATATATATATATAGAGAGAGAGAGATGATAAAATTTAGTTTGGCAGTTGGGAACTTTTGAAGAATCACAAAAATCACTTGATATTCCAAGTATACCTTTATTACTTGTGGCACTTCACAATGAGGGGCAATCTGCAACCCACAATATTGATGATGGCACATTACACTTTAGCAGAAAAGCAAAAGCTGTCCTGTTGAAGGTATGTGTGGTTCATTTGTTTACTATTACAACTTCGCTAAATCGAGACGAGCAGATGAATAAAACAGAATCAAAGTTCTTACCTTAATAAAACGTAATCCAAGCTGCAGATGTAAGGAACACGATCATTATTAGCACACAAAATAACACATTTATTAGGTATTAGAAGAAGAAATATCTAGCGATGATTACAAGCGTTGTTTACTGTCCATTGCATAACGCGAGAATGAGTCATACATGGAGAGAATGTGTCTCCTTCTTTTTTGGATGAAGTCCAATTCCTGTTAGCGGGGTTGAGGGGAAAATTAACATCGGAGGGTGCAGCTTCATCGCTGTCATTATCAATTGCTTCACACGTCCTTCAGCCAGCAAGCACAAGCAGAGAAAGAGGGTTGGGGTAAGATTGCAAAAATATTTATACAGTCAAAAGTCGTTAATCCGGACTCTTCGGGACTTCGGCGATTCCGGATTATAGATCATCAGTTTAAATCTCGTAAGATGGCATGCAGAAATTCTAAAATTAAAAATATGAAACCGTAATTTATGAAATAAAGAACAATTATGACCTAAAGGGTATCAAAATTTGCAAAAAGAAAAAGCTTAATATTTATTTGTTTACTTTATTAAACATTTCTTTCAATGTAAGTTGTTTAAGTTTTGCTTCGTTTCATGTGATAATACTTTCTCTTTAATTCTATTAAACAGACATAATTTCTTGTTCAGTTACAAAGTTCCGCCGTTCAAGTCCTATAATTGCTGTGTCAAGAACACCGACTAATTTGTCAATCGAAATTTTTTTGTTTTCACTAACCTCTGTTACTTTCTTCGCTATCGGAAGCGAATTATAATGACGAGGAACTTGTTTTAAATCATATCAAAGACGGAGCACATCGAGATGAAATACTAATTTGGTAAGGAATTATAAGCCAAATAAAATAAAAACATCTGCCCTGAAGATAAGGATAGTGCTGACAGATCAACTTCCAATTCATTACGCGCCGCTGCGGCGTTCCCCCCGCAGAGCAGCGTGAAATTGATAAACAAATTTCGGATTTCAAAACATACTTTCGCTTTAGATCCTTTACATATTAACAAATACATATCGAAAATTCTATTTCATATAATCGAAAGTTTAAGCTTACTTTTATAAAATTGCTCTTACAGTCTGCAAAAAATAAGCCGGATCCAATTCGAAAATTAAGGAACAACGCAATCATCAACATTAACTGAAATAGATAATTAGATAATTTTAGTTTATACGTCCATTATACATAAAACGCGCACGCGAAAACGTATTCTGCACTTGCGCACACTCATATGCGCAGTTGTAAAAGGTCTTATGCGCACGCGTAAACGCCTGTGCGCATGTGTCAACGCGGCGCATGCGCAGAAAGTTTTCAGTTTTGAGGTCCGGATTATAGATCATTCCGAATTATGGATGTCCGAATTAACGACTTTTGACTGTAGTAAAATTTTTCATTAATCTGATTGGCTAAAACTTACAGGCAATGCAGAAGTTTCAAGATGACATATAGCGGAATATGCTTTCAGATATGATGGAGTTTAGAGACGTTGTCATTATCAATTGCTCCACACGTCCTTCAGCCAGCAAGCACAAGCAGAGAAAGAGGGTTGGGTAAGATTGCAAAAATATTTATAGTAAAATTTTTCGTTAATCTAATTGGCTAAAACTTAAAGGCAATGCAGAAGTTTAAAGATAACATACAGCGGAATACACTTTCAGATATGATGGAGTTTAGAGAAAGTTATTACTAGAGACAAAGTACCCAAATTAAAAATGTGCAATTAGAGGCATTTTAAATTATAATTTTGATCTGCATTTTTTTAATACTTTTTGGTACAGCCAATTGCAACCAAAAAGAGAGGTGCACAAGTACATGTTATAGCAATCCTATATATAAAATTTCAATGTTCTGAGGCTACTCGTCTTTGAGTTATGCGAAATACATACATACATACTACACAGAGATGCCATGAAAAATCTCTTCTAAATCCATTTTAAATCAGTTTTATTTTTCATTTGGGGGAAAAGTGTCCTTTATTTTGTTTTTACATACAGATGCCATTCAAAAACATCTTTAAATTGCATTTGATAGCAGTAAAAATGGATATTTTCAGTAAAATATGACACCCAGAATTTTTTGTGATTACAATACTTCCTTTACTTCGTACAAGGAAAAATAGAAATTGGCTCATATCACTGGCTACGGTTTATACTATGCATACATGAAGGCATTATATACCCTATGTTACACATAATGTAGATTCCATAAAGTAAGCAGCCCATTGCTTGGGATTTGACTTTAAGTCAGACTACAAGTATATATTTTATCTACTCTGTTATTGATGAAATGGAGAATCACAAGATGCCGAATTATGACACAAAATTGAATTTGGGAGAAAATTGTTTTTACACTGGATAGATTATTCAAAGAAATTACAAACAGACTTCAAGAGTTTAACTTTCTTGCTATATCTTCTTTTCCCTATTGAAACTTTTGAATGGAAAATAGGAATTACAATTAAATTGTTATTTTAATGGCATAAACAAGGAAGCGATAATTTAGAGTTTTATTTTTGTTACTCCTTAGGAAAATGAACTTAATAAATAATTGGAAGTGCAGCTGCTTTCAACTTTTACAGTTTATTCAAAAATACAGCCTTCAAAACAAAATTCAAAATAATGTTAATTCTACTTCAAATTTTCCTCATACTTTCTGTATTAAATGCAAGAGGAGTTTTTCTCAATGCAAATATATTAAGAAGCACTTACAACTTTACTGTACCATCTAGAAGAGAAGAAGTAATGAAGCAAGTGCTTGGAATATCATCAATTTTTTTTTTTTTTTTTTTAACAGAAACAACAATGAAATAGCAATTTAAAATGTTGGAATTAAAGCTTTATTTCATAAAACTAACATGGAGCTTTAGATTTTTTTTTGTGTGTGTGCGTATGTGTGTACATTGAGAAAGGTGGCAAATTGATCACCCTTAGTGGCAAAAGATCTAGCTAAAGCCACTGTATATGCAAGCAGTGGCGTAGCTAGGGTGGGGCAAGGGGGGACAACTGTCCCCGGGCACAGCATCCAGGCGGTGCCAAAGTGATGCTACGGAATTTTTTAATGAAATGTTTTCCATTCTTGCCACACAGAAAGGGGTGCAAATTCTTCAGTTGTCCTCGGGCGCTGGAATCTTAGCTACGCCACTGTATGCAAGTTTACTCTGACAACTGAAAAAATGGCCATGCTTCTAAATGTTAAAAAGTACAAAAATTTTCATGATAAAATAGCAAACACTTTTCAGTTATTCCCTTAATTTTATTATGAAATCTATTTTGCTAGAGAATGATCGTAAAGATGTATGTATAAGTTAAATTTTACTTTTCATCTCAGAAGTCTTGGATGTATTTTAAAGCAGCAGACTCTTTATCTGAAACAGTTATAAACTGTTCTATTAAATCCAGTGTCATGTACAGTGGTGATATAACAATACATTTCTGGAAATGTGACAAGTTTCTGGAAATGTGCTACTTCTACCTGACACTTGTGAATATCAGTCCACTGTCCACCTTCTAGCAGTGTGCTTTGAAGTTTGCTTCCTAAGAACATAGAGAAGTAGCAAGGTTTGTGAAAGCACTCTGAAGACTCATCAGAAATGCCATCAGTTAAAAATCTCTAAAGACTTTTAGCTGTATGCAAGATCCGTAATGGATATATCAGAGCAAGACTATGAATTCCTTTTAATATGTATCTTTTTAATTTATCTCAGTAAATTTACAGCAGGCATAACAAAATGATTCTCATGGATAATTGCAACCTAGAAATCAGATTTCCCCACAAAAAATAGTGACCGAGGCTGAATATTGGCAGTTCGACCTAAGTTCGATTCCAGGTGAACATGATAGCTGCATGGGTGCTTTTATGGTTTTCCACATGAGTAACATATATACAAGACAATTCTGTTTAGAAAGTCCTCCATAAAAACATCTCCTCCCTTGTGTATATAACCTTTGAATGCTTTGCCACAAACAAATAAACCAAATTAAACGAACCAGTCATGTAATCAGATAAGTATAAAAGATCATGACATGATTCTACAAGATCATACTTTTCCTACATCAGGGATTTAACAGATATATGTGTTGCTGTGTTAATAGGATATTGCAGAAAAGGAATTTACAACAGTTTATCTTCCGATTTCAAAAACAAAATTTCAAATCTTCTGAAACATAATCTCTTGCAAAACAACACTTAGGCAACAAAAATAATGAGTACTCACATATTAACACAACCACCTTGGCATAATTTGATTTTTTAAAGATGAAAAGGTAAAAACCACTCATCAGGTGCAAATTGATGGTTTTCGCATCTTTTTTTAGGAAGATTCTTAAACTATTGATATTTATTACGTTGAATATTTATTATGTTGTACTATATAAAAAGTACTTTAATATTTTAAAACACTAATATAAAAGTATATAATAAATAAAAGTATTTTATTAAATACTTTAGTATTTTAAAATACAAATTTGAATTATTTATTAAATAAGGATGGTTATGCATATGGTTGCCGGAGTTTGGCACATTCTGAAAATTTAGGGACTTCTACTAAGGTGGTTATGTTAATACGAAAGTACTAAATGATATTATACAATGTAACAAGTAAAATTTGAAATCTCAGTTTAATTAGGATAACAGGCAAATTATAAATGAAATACTTTACTCTAACCTATTGTTGTAGCTCCAGCATCAATGCTATTTTCAACTAGCTCTTTGACAGCTGTTGCAAGAGTTAGAACAACCTGACCAGAGCATATTTTATGGACACTAGTGCGATCAATCTGTTTAATGCTTCCAGTTTCCATAATGTAGCCAAATTTTTGAAAGCTAAATGAAATCATATTTCAGATCCTGTCAGAAAGAGAAATTTAAATGATATAAATGTAATAACACAACAAATAAGTTAAAATTATACATAAAATCCTTTTCGTCAAATCAAAATACAGTCAAAAGTCATTAATACGGACTCGTCGGGACTTTGGCGATTCCGGATTATAGATCATCAGTTTAAATCTGGTAAGATGGCATGCAGAAATTATAAAATAAAAAATATGAAACCTTTAATTTATGAAATAAAGAACAATTATGGTCTAAAGGGTATCAAAATTTACAAAAAAAAAAAAAAAAATTTTGTTTACTTTATTAAACATTTCTTTCTATGTAGTTGTTTAAGTTGCTTCGTTTTATGTGATAATACTTTCTCTTTAATTCTATATAAACAGACATAATTTCTTGTTCAATTACAAAGTTCCGCTGTTCAATTCCTGTAATTGCTGTGCCGAGAATACTGACTAACTTGTCAATCGAACTTTTTCATTTTCACTAACCTCTCTGTCACTTTCTTCATGCCTTTATCCACTTTTTGTTTGATGACATCGAAACATACTTTTGCTTTGTAGATCCTTTGGGAGCTCCAGCATAGGAAATTCTATTTGACATAATCGAAAGTTCAAGCTTACTTTTATAAAACTGCTCTAACAGTCTGCCAAAAATAATAAACTGGATCCAATTCGAAGATTAAGGAACAACACAATCTGCAACATTAACTGAAATAGATAATTAGATAATTTTAGCTTATACCGTCCGTTATACATTAAACGCGCATGAGGAAACGTATTATGCGCTTGCGCACATGCATATGAGCTGCCGTAAAGGTCTTACGCGCATACGTCAAAAGGACGTATGCGCAGAAAGTTTATAGCTTTAAGGTCCGGATTATGGATGTCCGAATTAACGACTTTTGACTGTACCAATAATGATTAAGGAAAAAAAATGGGTACTTGTTTATTATCCCATTGATCATGAAACTGTCATCAAGAGGTATAATTTTGCCCTAATTATGGACAAGCATGATGTAACAACACACTCACAGCATGTGCACTTTTGTTTGATGTAAACTTGGTAAAAATATATTTCATGTATCCCTTGGCGAAATTTTGGTGCCATTATCGTTAACGTTCAGTAAAATGGCATCCAAAATGTAATGCAATAAAACATAATTAAAACAAAAAATATATAATCTCAATCTAGAATCTGTATACTGCCGTCGCCACATAAATTCACAAAAATAAGAGTAAAAAAATATCCTTCGTAGTGCCAAACTGTTGGCGGCATTTCTTGAATGAACCTTTCTCTAGACAAATCCATTCAGAGCCATCTGAACGAACTTTACATTCGACCATATGCATTTCCTTCATACAAACAGGACACTTATAATGACTAACTAAATAAACCTTCATTTACACACCAGTCAATTAATGTTTTTATTCCCTTTTGTTCCAAATCACACAGAAACTTCACATTAATCTTATCCCATACAGCCATTTTACAGTGTAAAGCATAAAATAAGTAATGTACTTCCTAACCAACATCCAACACATAAATAAGCTTTTACAAATATTTTCCCATCAATCAAATTCACTGCAACCATGCAAACAACCACATCATAATAGGGTTTCAATAATATTCAACTACTCAAGTTAACATAAATGAAACAACTGGGTGATAATCCAAGGGGCACTCTAAAATATAGACTAACCGTAAACTTGATTGATTCTTGATAAGCCTTTTTTTGGGAAGGTAACAAGGATTTAAACTAACTATTGTTGCTGTATTTTTTCCTTGCATTTTAAAACAAAAAAGTGATTAAAATTTGTGGCCTGCCTTCTCTAGAACAGCAAGCAATGGATTATTTTCAAAGTTATGCGACTGTGCATCAAAAGAAGTAAGTACTAATGGACATGATATGGTCAACTACATATCCCCTACAAAACAGGAATAAATTGGAACAATTACCTGTGAGAAGTCTGTACTCATAGCATTCTAAATAGAGCTTTCAGTAAAACTGGAGGGCCAAACAGAATAACAAAAATGCTGAAAGCCATTTTATAAAGCACAAAAATGAAGCAAGTGGGAAAACTGACACTTACAGTTTATTAAATAAAGGCTTAAATTGTGCAGGAGCCCGGCTCCAGTACTTCTCAGTTTTGGGAAGAAATCATAATTCTAGCCGGAATGGACTACAGCCCTAAATAAGAAGGCTGTGGCACTTCTTTTATGTAACTGAATAAAAATTTCAGTAGAAATTTGATCTTGAAAATTTTACTTTTAGTAATAAAATTATATTAAAAATCACTTATTTAATTACTTTAATCATTAATTATTTTAATGATTAAATATTTAATTTTTACTTGTCAATGATTTTATAGTTATTTTATTTATTTATTTATTCTTGTTCCTCTTTCCTGGTCTTTCGTAGGACTCCAACACTTCTGATTTTAGAAATTAAGTCTTGAATAAAGCAGCATCAGTTCCTTCAAAATTCCACTGAAACTACTGGTGCAATATTAGTCATGATTTCCTATACCTTTCAAGGTTCATGGCAGTCAGCTTTTCCAGTTGATGGGATAATACATAAATACCAAAAACTGTTTACTACAAAATTCTGGGAAAAGCATTTAAAAGAATTTAATAAACTAATCAATGGATAATACTGATGAAACCACTGGGCTAAATGACAGTAGTTACAGAAATAAGAGACTTAATTATTTACCCTTATAGTGCTTACTAGCTATTAAACTAGGAAAAGCCAGACTATCCTGCATTTACCTAATTGGATAGCTGAAGCAATCAGAACATTTTAGAAATTAATTTAGAAACTTCCCCCCCTCTCTCTTTTTTATTCTTTTTATGAAGAATTAAGCAGATGAGCAATTTTTAAAGGAATTACAAAGTGCATATAAGGCTGTGACTCGAAAAAAAAACAAAAACTATCGCCAACATTGCAATTTAGTGAAAATGATGGATAAATATGACCTTGCAATACATTCAAAAGATCTTCACTTTGAATTTATGTACATTCAAAACTCTCAATATGCAGGTTTAGTTTTAGAGAGAATTTAAGTTATTAAATACTGTTTAGATTTCCCCTCATATTTTGAAAAAAAAAAAAAAAAAAAAAAAAAAAACTGATTAAAGCTTGGGACCTGCCCTGAATGGAATAACATACAGTGGAGTATTTACAGGATCCTGGCAACAAGAAAAATATGTATTAATGGACATGATAAGCTATATTATTATTTGAAAATGAAGAAACAATGCCAATGCAATGTGAAAAATTTTAACAACCAACATGTTTTTACATGTTTATATCATTAAATTATAGCTGTTATAATTATCAAATGGCATAAGAGCAATCAGATCTTTTAAATTTCTGCCAGAAGACTGGAAGGATATCTGCCAACGTTCATAACTGTATAGATTTATAGATATTCTACTATCATATGTTTAAAGTCTACCAAAAATACACTGGCTTTTACATCTGAAATGCATTCATTTTTTCTAAATCTGACATACTGTTGAATGTAGGCTTTTGGTATTCAAGCTAAAAATAAATAAGATGACTGTTTTTATAAATTTAGACTAGAAATCTTCTTCCATTAATCTGGCTTTTCTACTAAGAACTGTATTTTTTATACACCCAACTACCTAAATTTTTACTACCTAAATCTGGCATTTCCTGAGGTTTCCAGATAGTTCAGCTTTTACAATACATTTTTAAAAGTACAGTTCAACAAAACTAAGTGTTTTAAATTTATGATAAAAAGAACTACGCAAATTATTTTTTTACTTATATTATAATAAGAATTTTGATAATTATCTAAACAAATATAATTTACTGCATTCTCAGTCTCGAAACTTGCTGAAATTTAAAAACTTTCATATCAGTGAAACATATATTAAGTAGATTACATATTTTATTTTTTAAAATTAATATAGATAAGGATTAATAAATGAAATTAAAAAGTAATAAAAAAATTATAAGAAATTTTCCTAAACTTGTGTATTAATAAAACACATATTCTTAATTAGATTATAAGTTTTATTTTAAAAAAAATATGAGATATTAATACAAAATATACTAGCTACTAATATTAATCAAAAAAATATACTAGCTACTAATATTAATCTAACCACACATACTGTTGGTCTGGTTTGCACTCTGTAAATCTTTTATACTCATCCAGGGCCAGTTTTATGTATATGGGGAAAAGGCAGTTAGCTCCCTATGCTAAGTCGTAATCACAAACAGAATAAAATATAGTTTATTTTCAATCCTTAATATATTCAATTTATATGCAGCACCAATTTTACTGATCACCTAGGATGCTAAACATGCTACAGCTTTGAAGGATCTAATAGAGATCTCTAGTAAATGCCATGTACTAGAGAACGCATACAGTAGATAAAGAATATTTTCAAAGTTCCTTCCTGTTGTTCTTCAAGTTACATATATGTTTTGGCCTGTCTCTTAAGTCTGATATTTTGAACATATTTAAAATAAAAATACGAAGAAAAACTCTGCTACATAAATAAATGACTGAATCGTACACATTTGTTTGTTCTCGTGGTAAGGCTATTCACATAGTATAGAGTGCATATGTTTAGAAAATAAAATAATCATTTTGCTATTATTTATATTATTTGCATTATTCTACATAATGTAATGGAAGTAGGCTATCTTTGATTCTAAAGCTTTACAAAAAACTTTACCTCGACATAGAAATGCGAATCTAATTTCACCGTCATGAGTATCACTTTCAAATAGTATGTACTGTTACCATATTCCAAAGATCAGCCGAAACATTTTTAAGTCAGCAAGATGGTTGCTAAAATTAAACTGTAATATTTATTTAGCAGTTTATCGCTACTTAATTATTAATTTTATCATTCATTTAGGCAGAGAAACTTGAATCCCAAACTAATCTAACACAGGTTGGTATTTTCTGCAACGATGTTATTCATAATGTTTATACACAGTTTTCTTTACAGACTGAGTATAGAAGTATACGCTTCCAATACTTCCTCTGAATATTTAGTCTGCTTCAGATACTTTGTCGCCATTCTTCGTTCATTTATACTCGATTCTCAAACCATCTATGTCAGACTATGAAAAAGCATAAACCCTGTAACAATAAAAATGATCTTGCTTGTGAAACTCATAAAAATGAGAAAACATGAATGAATAAAATGTTATGCTAGTCTCAAATTTTAGCAACCGTTTTAAGTATCACAGTTCATATCTAGAAAGAAAAATCTTCCTAAATAATAAATTCTGCGTCCGGTATAAAATTAAATCCTATGTAATAAATCCCACCATCCTCATTCATTGATATTGGCACTTTCTATCGACACATCGAGTTGAACAATTATGTACAGCCAAACGCCAAATGTTTACGGAAAAGTGTACTTTGCTGTGATTGGTTGGAGGGTTATCTTTTTCACGCCAAACTGGACCTGGCGCCAAATACGTAAATCTAGTAAAAATAGAAATCCTATTCCGCGATTTTCGTCGGTGAGTGTTTTTTTTCTGCACGTGCTAATTCTTAATTTGATTTTGTTATTTGTATTATTTTTATTATGTCTTTGTCTAAGCAAACAGGAAAAATGAAAATACTTATAATCGGAGATTCGATGATAAAATATTTAAAAGAATATTTATTGCTGAATTTACTGGATTATGAAGTTCATTTTCATTGTTTTCCGGGTGCTACGATTGAAAGGTTGACACGCAAGATAACCTTGATAGACAATCAATTTGAGTTAGTTTTGGTTCACGTTGGTACCAATAACTCTTGTGACACTTTGGATGATATTCATCATAAATATGATTGTCTGTATAAGGTTATTGAGCGTTTAAACCCGAAGATCATTCTCTTTTCAGGTGTCCTCCCGCGTGAACGAAATTTATTCGAGAATGGTTTCAACCCGTACAGTTTAAAGAAGCTGAACAGAAAATTAGCTCGGATAAACACTAATCTTTTCGAAGCATTCAAAGGCCGAGAAGCTTTTTCTTTTTGCAGATCTGGTGAGTACTATTGGAGTACTTGTCTGTCAAGAGACGGATTGCATCTGAACCGTAAGGGTAATGCACAGCTTGGGAGAATTTTTGTGAAGGACATAAAGAGCGTTTTGAGTGTGAAATCCCTTCCAAAGGTAAGTGCTACATCTTTTTCCTCTCTGTATCTGCTATTGAGTTTCCAGCTTTATCCACTGTTTCAGGAAAACATCCTTCTGTACCTATCACGATTTTGGATAATTATCCTCGTGCTTCTGTCATTTCAGATACTTCAAGTACTCACTCTAAACCTCTTTATTCAAGTGTTTTGAAACGGGTTTCTTCTGTTTGCAGCACTTTGGATAGTCATCCTGATACTTTAGGCTTATCAGATTCTAGTGTTTCAGTTTTGTGTGCTCCTTCAAGTGTTCCTTCGAAACCACTTTATTCAAGTGTTTTGAAACTTTCGCATGTCTGTACTACATTGGATAGTCGCCCCCCTAATGCTTTAGCATTACCAGGTGTTTTGACTGATTTGGATAACCATCCCAGTATTTCAGTATTGTTGGATTCTCCTGATGTTCTTTCTAAACCTCTTTATTCAGATGTTTTAAAATATGGTTCTACCAACACGTCTTTGGATAATCATCCCCAGTGGTTTCTTGTTATCGGATTTTCCAGTTCTTGAGCCTATAGCCGACACTGTTTCGAGTATTCTTGACATCACTGCACCAGTTTCTCAGAATTCCAGTACTCCATCTGTTTCTCATTTTTTTTTCTGCTGATCCAAGTGTATCTGTTTCTCAGCTTTCTGGTTCTTTGTATCCTGTTACAGTTGCTTCTGAGCTTGCAATTAATTCCATTTCATCTGCTTTATCAGATTTTCCATTTTTCTTGAAAGTGCTGTTAACATTGGTCCAAATAATGTTGATGCCATTGCATCTGTTCCTCAGTTTTTTCTGTTGCTTCTGTGCTCAATTCTGAATCTTCTTCTTCTGCTTTTCAGGTTCTCACCTATTCTAGTTCTCCTGTTTCAGACTCGGCTTCTTTCATCTCATCAGATCTTACAGTTGTTGATCTCTCGATCTCTCGGCTGTTTTTCAACCATTTCATCGATTTCACTTTTTGAAGATGATAATGAATGTTCAAACTTTAAGTTTGGGGGTGCTAAGAGTCCAAATAAATCTGAAAATAACAATAAAATAAAATTGAACTCGTGAGTAATTATGATAAAGAAAATTGTGCTTCTAATGGAAAATCTAAGATTTGCCCTAAATGTAAGAAACCTTTTTCTTCTAAACAGTCCTTATCTAATCATAAACGTAACTGTAAAGGTATTGTAGAAATGAAATATCCCAGAGTGTGTGAAGTTTGCATGAAGTCGTACTCCACTAGACAATCATTTTCCAATCATAAAAAATGTTGCAAAGCACCATCAGCTGAATGTATTCCAAAGGCATATATTTGTGACCGGTGTGAGAGAGATTGTAAAAGCCGCAGTAACCTTTTTCATCATAAAAAGATCTGTAGTATTAAAAATCCTACATCTAATAACCTGTGTTATTCCTGATTGTAATAAACATTTGGCTGAATATCATGATTATGAGATGGCTATGCAAGAACTTACATTTTCATCAATAGGAGAATTTCAATTCTGGTTAGAATCGCATAGTAAGCAGACATTCAGTTCAGTTCTTATAAAAAGTCTGCTGGAAGTAGATGTAGGAATGATAAAACTTTTCATTATTACTGTTGTCAATTTAATGTAATGCATAAAAAGAAAGTTCCTGTTTCCAGTAGAAAAAATCTAAAAGATACTTTACCTTCCAACTTTAAGTGTCCGTCAAAAATTTTAGTTTGTGAAGAATCGCACCTTGTCACAGCCATATTTTATTCGAATCATAATCATGAATTGTCTTTTGAAAATAGCAGGTTCCACCAACTTAGTCAGAGTTGCCGTAACAAAATTAAAGCTTATGCACAGTTAGGTGTATCCACGGATCAAATTCAAGAATTTATCAGAGATGGAAGTGGACTGCGGGATAATAGGGAGGGCATATATGATAAAGATGTATTTGTAACACGAAGAGTGATAAACACTTACAAAAAGCGGTTAGTATGTTCCTTTCCTGGTGATGATTCACTTTCAGTTGCCACAATAGTTGAAAAACTCAGGCAAGAATCATATGATCCAGTACTTATTTATAAACCACAAGGAAAGCCAACATTGTACGGTCCAAAAGGGCTTGATGAACTTTCTTCTACAAATGAGTCTTTTGCATTAGGATTGCAGACTAAACAGCAGAAAGATATGATGATTAAAGGTTGCTCCAGGATTTTATGTATTGATTCTACTCACAAAACAAATCAATATGATTTTTATTTATTAAATTTAATCGTTCCTGATGAGTTTGGTAGTGGTTATCCTGTAGCGCATTTCATTACAAATCAGTTAGACCAGGATACAATGTATAATTTATTCCTTAGTATCAAATGTGTAATACCGGAACTTTATGTCAATTGTCTTATGACAGATGATGATAAGACTACCCATCCTGCATTTGATAAAGTATTTGGTCCTGGTATTACACATTTGTTATGTAAATGGCATGTGCATCGTGCTTGGCAACGTAATTTGTGCCGAATGGTTTCTAATCAAAAACTTAAAGATGAAATCTATTTTAATATGGTAGTATTACTTGAAGAAACCAATTCTGCTCGATTCATAGTGATGATGGATAATTTCCTTCAGAAGTTTCGAACTATTGCACCATCTTTTATACAATATTTTGAAGAACATTACTATAGCCGTGCTATTCTTTGGTCAATGGCCCATAGAAACTTCCCTCATGCGTTCACAGATACCAATATGTATTGTGAATCGTTTCATAATAAATTAAAAACTACATATTTTAGACGAAAATTTAACAGGCGTTTAGATAAATTAATTGAAGTACTTTTAAAAATTGAAGAGGATACATACATGGCTCACAGCTATAAAATTAAAACTAATTACAAGCAGAGTACTTGTCCACCAACATATAATAAGCGACATGATTCGGGAATAAAAATTTTAGATAGTGATGTAACAGGGGCTGGTTTTTTGTTGTGGATTGTAAAATCACAGACTTCTAATATTCAGTATACAGTTAAATGCTTATATGAGTTATGTCCTCAAACTGATCACTGTTACTCTAAATGTATTAGCTTATCTTGCCTTAATTTGTGTAGTCATTTATATAATTGTAATTGTCCAGATTTCAGTCCATTATGTAAACACATTCATAAAGTACATTCAGTCAGACAAAGAGATCCATCCTTCTTCGTAACAGATACTTATAAAAGCGAAAGCTGTTCATCAGCCATACAAACAGGTACAAAGTCTGTTATTTCGAATGCAGTAGCATGTAACTTAGAACATAAAATTGATAATTGTAAGACTTTAATATCTGAATTACAGGTTATGCTGCCTAATCCAACAGTTAAAAAAATATTGTTGCCTACTATAACAAAAAATTTGAAAGAAATTGTTTCTAATTGTAAAGGTGTAATAGAGTCGAACTATCTGAAAGAATTTCCTGACAAAATGCCATTTGTCAGTGTTCCCCCAAATTTAAAATTAGCCCGTCAGACTTTGTTTCGTACAACTGCTTCAAAAAGTGCAAAGCGTAAAATTTCAACTTACCTGAATATTCAGAATAAAAAAACCGTTAAAGAAGATTTATTAGGCATTAATTTAGCGTGCACACAATTAATAAAAGTACTTTTACTCCCAAGCTTATTGATGAGGATATTTCAAAAATGCATTTTATATGTTGGAGAAACACCGCTAACATTTTTGGATGTAAAATCTCTGGATCCATACATTCCATGTGAGGAAATTCAAACATTAAAATCTGCATCTTTAAATTTTCAGCCTGGTTGGCTCAGTGACAATGTTATTGATGCTTTCCTTTTTATTAGTCTTTGTGGTTCTTCTTCAGTAGCAGCCAAGTGTTATCATACACCTTTCTTTCAATCAGGTAGTAAAGATCAAACTGTATGGCAAAAAGAGGATTTAGCTTCTGTTGATTTCTTTTTTATTCCAGTTCTTGTAAAAAATAATCATTGGGTTTTACTGGTAGCAAGAATTAAAGATAAAATGTTTCAATTTTATGATCCGCTTGGTTTTAACTCAGTTCAAAATTCAGTATCTTCATTAATTCAGCTGTGGCAAAAAGTCATAAATA